AAGGCTCAAAAAAAGATTGAGGACACCACCTTGGCAATTTATCTCTGCCACAGCTACTGACCTTGGGGCAAGTGGCCATTTTTTTTGCTGGAACTGTATCAGAAGATAACAACTGCATGTCAAAATACTTTAGCAATGACTGAGAAGGTATTTTAAACATCACTACCCTGGTGCAAGCTTCAGGGGAAAAATGTATTTACAAACTGCACCCCTCAAATGCCTTTAAATAATGCTGTAGTGGCTTTTTTTCCAGTGCAGACGGTTTAGCTAAAAAAAAAAAAGTGATTACTGCATTAGTATACAATATTTTTTTACATATATATACATATATGTAACAGTTCCATGCTAGCAAGCGCAACAGTGCTGCAAAGAAAGCAGTGCTACTTTCAGAGGTTAGAGGAGCTAGGACAAAACGCTCCATTTAAGGATGCACCCAAAAATAAATATCCAAACAAATTCTCCCGACTGAAGAAGACTAAGCATGCCAAGCCATGAGAGAGCGTCACCAAATGCAAAGCTGAGGTAGACAAGTCTACGCTTAAGGAGAAGCCAGCACTGCTGATTAACACAAACTGAGCCTTGACACAGAGAGCAAAGCCTCTTTTCTCCCCAGAGTGCTGTTGTGGGTGCTGTCCCCATATAAATTTAATCGCAGGCAAACCAAATGAGAATAGCTTGTATTATGCAGTTGATGGCTGCTAGTAGTTGAATGCCTTCAAGGTTTATGGCTTCCTGGGTTGTTCCTGTGATACAATTATGTCAATTTATGAATTTGAAGAATAGCTAATATTCTGGTACCTGGGGCATTATGTACTCCTTCCTAAACAGTCACTTCATATAAGCAAGACAGAGCTTTAAAGATTTTTTTTATGCTAGTAAAACCTACAAATTTTCATTTATCGCATTTTCAGTGGTGTGGAAAGCAAAGTAATTTATTCCATCTAAGGTGAGCAATAACCCTACTTTCACTGCCAGCCGTCTCTCAAAGCGCGCTGGTTTTAGACGCAAGACTGTAAAGCTTACTTAAAGGATGGCCTATGGATAGGCAACCAAATTATCCCAGTCATCTCGGATGGTTGCTTTCTCCCGAGTGGGTCAATTTTCAGAGTAATTTTAACAATGTTCATATTTTCCTCAGTAGATCTGTGTTATTTAATGAGTGTGAGCCAGGCTGTCACTGCCAGATAAGCTTTGTCCACACAAGTACTTTTGAAGTGTTGTCACATACCAAGTAATACCCAAGTGTTAATTATTTGCAATTACATCATGACTTGCATTCCCCAAAGGTGATTTTTTTCAGCTATTGTACAATCCATATGAGCCAGGAAGTCTGGAACTTTATTGCATTTCGTTTGTTTTAAAGTAGCAACACTGTTCCCCACTTTAGGCGGACCAAGTATTTTAGTCTCAGATTCATAGATGCAAAACATACACGCTTCTTCAGACGACCAAGGTTAATCCATTAAAGCAGTACCTTCAATACCTCAGCTTTTAAGACTTTTCTGGCTGACTCAGTGTGTAATGTACTGCATAAAGAAGTAGCCTCCGTCTCGATGAGTTTCAGTAAAAAAAGTTATGAGTACAGTTAATTGAATAACATCTCCGCAGACAGAAAAAATTTCCTTAGATTTCAGTGCTCAGTGTGACTTTTGTTAAAACAACCCAAAATCTGACAATCGGGAGGTTACTTGCCTGCATCACGCTGCATCCGCCCAGTAAGGGCAACGTTCGTATCGCACGTAGTAGAACAACTATCAAATCTGGTTCATAAGAAGTCACGGGATAGCAAGGCCTTTACTTCTACTGAACTAGTTGCTGTGTTAAGTGTCCTTTATCTCCCAATCCACAATGAATTAAGCTGTGTGTATCGGATGATGAGTGTCAAGGATATCTCTACATAACGCATAGGAGAGGGAGGATAGGGAATGCTGCCTAATTCAATACTATACCAAGCATATAGAAAAAAATTGACAAGCACACCAACGTTTTGCATACCTCAAGTCCATAAGAGGAATTGTTTCCCTAACCATGTACCTCTAGTATTACCAAAAGACAAATTTGCAGGTAAGATATGTAAAAATGTGCGTTCTTTCTACTAATGTCAGAATCAACAGTAGTTCTCTAGCTTGTTGAAGTGTACCCAACGAGTACTAGCCGCAGACTAGCAGAGATGAGTTCCACCCACACGCACGCCATACAAACCATAAGTTCTTTCCATATGGGGCTAGAGATTCCAGTGATAAAAAGAGAATGTCTACATAAGCCCTATATTTTCAATTATTATCTTGGTTATGATTGTATTTTAAGTGCAGAATGTTTCTAGAGGTATGGTAGGAAGAATTAAATCTATACCGAGCATTTTGTTGCTTCTCTTTGCAATGAACTAATTTTAGACTTGGAAACAACGCCCATCAAACATTTTAAAGCTAAATGGGATAACTGCTTTAGCAGTGACATTTTAACCCAGTCTTCTGCATGCTGCTAAAATAATGAGAGAATCAAACATCTGAAAAAAAAAAAAAAAACCAAAAAAAACCAAAAAAACCCCTACAGATTTGACATCGAATTCACATCTACTTTAACTACGGGGCATGCTGTTGCTTTATTACTTGAAATACGTTTTTTTGGTGAAAACTCAAATGGATCACTTTCTATGCTTTTCCGTACTTAAATGTTAAAATATGCATTCCTTCCTTTCACACCATACAGAACATCAAATCAACACAATCCTTCCTTTAAAACCTGTTTACATGTTATATATACCCAAGACCATACCGACAGGAACTACTTTTTCAGCATCTCAAATGTTTCTGCTGGGGACACGCAACATCGGTCACTCTCATTCAGCAGTACACACACCAGACTTCTCAAAAACCATCAGCAACACGACCGTATATTAAGAAAAACTCCACACCAATGGTTTGCCCACATCACTTGGCAATGTCCCTTTAATATTAATACACAGAGAAGTAAAATTTCTTTCATAAATTTGTTCAAGTATGTGGAACATGTAAAATGCATAAGAATCAATATGGACTTCATTAATGTTATATTTATTTATTTTCCAGCTTCATACAAACTGGATGTAGAAGCATAAACATAGTACATTTCTACCATTTTCAACAAAAATATAACCAATATGTACAATTATTGTATTAAAAATACAAAAGGGATACAGACTCCACCAATGTCTTTCTAAAAGACATACAGGTACAAGTAGTATCAAAAGTATGAGGAAATCACCAGTTAATTGTACATTCTGCACTTGACATCACAGAGCGAACTGAGATTAGCAGTCCTATGGTCTACAATTACTTAATGCTTATATAACATTTGTGCAACTTGTGATAGAGCTAGGATTTTTGTATTTCTATATGCACATGAGGTCCATAGCCTTGAGAATAAAACCGGCAACTAATGCATATTACATGTAAAATTACAAATGCGTAATTGACAATGTGATATATAAGCAAATAGACAAAAGCTATGATTACAGGAGAGAGAATTAAATAAAGCACTGACATTTGTTTGATACAGTGAAAAAACACTGCAATTTGATCTTTAAAAGTTGAAGCTATTTACGTTTATCTACTGATCAATATGATCAGCTGAGTTCAATGGAAAACAAAACAAAACAAAAAAATCCAAGACCAGCAGTTCCTCACATTTGAGTACTACTCGGATTGGCAGCCTTCACTTCTCCGGAGTCTGTGCAAAAACAACACAAAAATAGAGGGGAGGGTCATTTCAGTCATTATAGGGTTAATAGCAGCTGTGAGCAGGTGGTTGCTACACATTGGCCTTCTCTACACATGCAGTGTTCCATGAAGCCATTAACAGTTGTGACTATTTCTGCATTGCAAAGGCTGGCAAATCTAAACGGGTTATTTTTCATTACTTAAAGGCTCGTTTATCCCCTAATGCCAAAGTCAATAGATGGAGGTTATTAGATCAGTGTTAACAGCTGACACGAGCTGTGACATCCCAACTTGCCTTCACTGCAATGTTATCCAGTTAATTTTTCTTTTAATATAACTACTATATAGTAAAAAAAAAAAAATAATATATATATATATAACTTAAAGGTGGGGTTGCCGTCTGTCTCATTAGAATGGGACACTTTCTTATTTAGTATGCCATCCTGTATTCCGCAAGGCACAGGTATGAGACACATAGTGTCCTCTTCCATCACCGGCCAGGCGCAAACGCGCGCTTCTGCATTGACACTAGACCCGTCGGAGGATGCCATTAACGGCCGGGGGTGCCATTAACGCTAACATTTACAAACTTCTGAAGATTCCAGGGTGGGGCACATTAAGAGCGAAGCGAGACGGTCAAGGAAAGGCTGCATCCCATAACCTCTGCCTTCCCTTCTGCCCTGCTCGGCCACGTGACAGCAATATTCTTTCCAGGAGCTCAGGCTGGCAACCCTACTTACAGGTATGAAATAATACTGCAATTACTACGCAGATGCGGTGTTTGATCTCCGAAACGCAAACATACAAAATGGTAACAAAGGCGTTGTAAACAAGCAAATAAGCACTGCCTCCTTGAGGGATTTCAATGCATTTTTCTCTTTGTAGGTTAAAGGCCAAATGTAATTTGACAACTAGCTCATCTCATTATCCCAATGAGACTAAGTGCTAGGATTGTGATTAAAATCTAAAAGGAAGATTTGAAAAAAAAAAAACAAAACCCTTCCAGGCATTGGGAAGTGCAGCCAGAGTTAATCATCCTGATGTGATGATCTTGGAATTTGGAATGATACTGTGTGATGTGGCAGACAGCGACAGTGGTAGCTTGGAGATTGCTGCACTGTGCATTTCAAGCAACACAGTTTGAAAAGTGCCAGGGCAATTTCTTCACAGTATTTCACATGCAAGGGGAGAGGGGACAGAAGGGGGAGGGGCGGAGGAAGAAGCCCCATGCTGCTTTAAGGCAGGGAAGGAGGCAAATAGGTCCACCATCCTTTAACTATAGTTCCAAGGCTCCTATTCTAGGGACGTCTTCTTGTGCTCTCCTTTAAGGTGGCTCACTCTGGATCCAGAAAAGCCCCAACTCTTAGACAGCAGAGACTTGTTCATCTTCTGCAAACACAATAGGAGAGGGGAAAATAGAATTTAGTTCATACAGGACAAGACTGCTACCAAATGAAACAACCTGTACTGTGCTCATGTGTTTTCCATTGCGTTGTATTAGGTATATATTTTAAAACAATCTAAGTATCTGTGTATTTCAGGTCTCACGAGAAGTATTCCTTCGTCATTTTGTTCTCAAAGAAAGCAATTGCTATAACTGAGCTAGGTGCGGTTCCTCAGCCAGAAGAACGCAACAGCTACTCCTAGATTTCCAATAGCTTCTGAATTCCTCCCCTTCCAAAAAGGTAACAAATAGCAAGTTTTAAAAGATGGGCAAGAGCTGAAATGACAGCAAGAATTTCTATGGCAGAACACATTTGTGTAATTTGCTTTGTGCCTGTGAAAGCATTGACCATTTTTGCATGCAGCACACTCAAAATCTAACAATTAGAAATTTACCATCTTCCTCTGTGGAAAACCCTTGAGGGGGATAGTGAGCAAGACGTGGATCTGACTCATTTGGTTTATGCCACTGAGGTTTGTTCGCAGGCCTGCTAGTGGAATGGCCATGCGACTGCTGCTGCGGAGTTGATGTCCCATGGGTCTCACATGTCCGTGCCACCATTCTAGACCTCTGAAGTGCTATGTTGTAATCTGGAGGCTTTCTGGTTGGATGGGAACCACCTTCTGCAAACTCAGCAATAGGTATTCCTACATAACCAGGAGGAGTTGGAGGTGGTTCCCGATATCGACCCTCTTTTCGTGCTGCAGGAAAAACAACAGATTATTATAAGAGATAGTAAGAGGAAAACAGCTCAAAGGAAAATAAGCAGTGAAAGTTAAATAAACACCAACTGACTCAACATCCCAGGATGAGAAAATCTGAAGGACAAAAGTTAGCTACCATACGGTAGACAATGAGGTCTTAAAAAATAAACCATGCAAAAAAGTAGAGAATATGCAGCCTACACAGGATATAGCTATTCTTCCAGTAGTGAAACATAACTGTAATAAAATTCACCAAATTACACAGGGAATTTGTTCAAGCTTATCAACTGAAGCTGTTCCATCAACTGTATAGGATAAAACATACACTGATCAAAATAACATGGAAGACTCAAGAGTCCACGGAAGTGGCAACCATTAGGAATATTGGCATCTCCTCAAACACGACTATCTTAATCCTGAAGATGAGCTTTGCACCTAAGAGCTCATCTCTTTTGTTGTTAGCATCTTGCGGGGGCAGGGGAACACCTGACACGTTATTTCTCCCTACAAATCTTACTACTTAATGAGACATAAGCTATGATTCTAAAAGGTAAGGAAGAGAAGTAGTCTTCATCTTCATACTTTCTGTATGCATTATTGCTCGCTGCTCTTACAGTTGTATTATCTGCAAAATTAAAACTTGAAAATATGCCCATAAGGACAATGATTGAATATGATTATATAGAGAAGACTGAAAGACCACCACCTAGTTCACGGATCTCACTGAGGCGCAACTGTTTACCTGAACCAGGCTTAACTCTAGGCATACTTAGAAGTTCTCTCTTCCAGAGAACTTCAAGGGAGGAAACAGCGATTAAGAATTGTAAGCATCTGCAGAGACACAAAGCCAATAGGCGTGACTCTGTATTTTGGAGTTAGGTACTTACAAAGGTCAGCTGGGGCTTTGATACTGAACACTTTTTGTGGGTCTAGCCCTTTAACACATGACCACTTAACTTACAGTACAAAGGCAAACGCAGCAGGAAAAACCACTGACACAGACAATTTACTCTCCACAGCTTGTCATACACTGTATATCTTGCACAAGTGGTGATGACAACATCACCCTGCATTATGCAGCATGGAATTGACTGAAAGGGCAGTACAAGCTTAAAATGGACTGGTGCTACTTGGATGTAAGTTTTTATAGACTAAATATAAAGTCTTGGTATTATAACAAAACCAAATAGTTTCCAACAGAATCTAAGTATTTTTCTTGGACAAATCATTTTAACTGAGCAAAGCAGCATGAAGAAGTTCCTGAGAAATTTTTTTCAATGATTTTTGAAACGTAACTTTGAGGCAGAAGAAATTCTGTAGAAGAAAAATATCTTGAAATACTGCAAGAGATCAATGCCTATTCAGCGCAAAAGAACCACGTAGAACTAGTGGCTTCTGTTGGACTGTGATATGCAGAGTTGCATTTGCAGAATAGTTAGTTAATACTACTGAAGCGTATGGAAGTGTGTGTGGCTTGAATTTTCAGATCTCTCTCACATTCTCTCAAGTCTCTGAAAACACAGTGGAAAGTGCTGCCTTGACAGGCAAGTCTGGACATGCTTGTTCCGCATTCTGGTGGAAACCAAGGGCATCAAAGAGTAAAATTAGAGAACGGCATGAATTAGAACCTGGAGTCCTGAACTGAACAGCTTCCTCCTCTTCATAGTTCAGGGATTCACATCTGCACCCAAGCTTTGAGGCAATGAGCCATTGCTAAGCAATATAGTTGGGCAGAAAATGGAAAAACAGTTTATCACAGTGGTCTCAGCACGACCTCAACCCAGTAAACTTTTTCAGCTGTGTCAGCGCAAAATGGCTTTTAGATAGTTCTTCATATTAACCTGAATAAAGGCAAAGCGAAGGGGAATGAAAGGAATGAAAGAGGCAAAAATGCAGAGGTCTTGGATGGCCCAAGGACTGGGATGTGTAGAAGGAACAGTATGAGAAAAATGTTAAGCACTGCCAAGGACACCTTCATATTAATTTATATATTATCTGTTCTTTCTTTTGTTGAATGATTATAAATGTCTTTCAGCTCTAATTTCTCAGGAACCTCTTCAGTTTCAGCAGTCCAAAGAAACTTCTCTGTTGGTATTTAAGCACAAAGTGATCCCATTTTCAGAAGTAAGGAATATTTCACAATTATCAGACAAGTCATACAGATGTATAAAGGCTTTAAAAAAAAAAATCAGGCCACATTTATTAAGATATCTAAATATAGAATGTGGAGCCTTACTGTGAAGAAAAATTCACATTTCAGAACAGACACCTAAATACATCAACCTCTCAAAACACCGTCCGGCAGCTGAGCAAGTGTTTTGATGTATGGCAGGCTCTCTTGAAACACAAAGGTGCTGCCAGAACTGAGAATCAACAATAAGTTATATTTTCCCTAGCAAGAAATGCAGTTAAATGGGAAAATTTGAGACAAACTGCAAAATGTTCGATTGTGCTTTAAAAACTTAAAAAAACCCCAAACAACCAAACCAGAGAAAAGTACAATTCTAGAACAATACAAAGACGCATAAGCAAATGGACTAAAATACTTCATGGTAAACAAAACTTAACTTACCAATAAGCCCCTTTGTACTACTTGATGACACTGCTATATGAGTGGGCACAGGAGCTGGCTTTGACTCCTCTGCTGGTACAGCTGTTATGCTACTGGTTTCAGCTTCAATCGAAACATCCTTCCCACCCCTCCGCTTTATGGTACCTGTATCACCTTCTGAGTCCTCTCCCCAGTAGCCTGTTGAGGATGCCCAGCTTGCTCTGGACTGTGCTTGGTCAAGGCCCTCCCTACCTTGACTTTGCCTGCCATACTTTGTGCCATGATCGGGGAACATCAGCTGGTCCATATGACTGCCCGAGGCCCACAGTCCTGCCCCATCGCCTGAACTATCGAAATGAGCATGTCCAAAAGGCAGAGTCTCCCAGCTTCTCTGGTGCTGTATTGTTTGTATGTTGTCATGAGAACCACTTGAACAAGAAGTCCAGCTACCACGGCCACTGTCAGCTGCATCGAGCGAAGCTCTGTCCCCCTGATCCTGTGACAGTTCTTCTGTACTAGGAGAAGAAAGCACAGTCGCTCCAGCATACAGGCCTCTGGTCTCCGACAGTGGTGCATATGAGCTAGATGCACATTGAAGAAGGGGGCGGGAAAAAAAAAATCCAGCGTTGGAATTGGAGATCATTTACAAGACACATGAAGAATTCATCAGTCAAGGAAAAGCAAACATATCGGAGGTTTGGACTAGATGACCTTTAAAAGGTCCCTTCCAACCCAAGCCATGCTATGATTGAAGGCTTTCATGCAATTTATATTAAGTATTATTTGCATTGATGACTCGTTCAATTTTGGGAATCCCTTTCAAACTCCTCCTCAATAAAACAAAACAAAACAAAAATTACCAGACAGATAAATGAATGAAACTTAACACTTCAGTGGAGTCATTTCAAAAGGTAAAATCTTAACTGTGCAGCAGCCCTTTAAGACAGGCAAAGCGCATTGACATACATAAAGGGGAACAGACTGATATATAGGGTTTCTACTGTTTTTCCAGCCATGCGAAGCAAAGGATCGAAAGTCAGAAACAGTTTTAGCAGGAGGTGGCTGATATTCCAGCTTAGGTTTCGGTTTTTCAGATTTTTTTTCTGCTTAGGAAACTCCGAAAGCCAACTTTTAAACATTTTTTGCAAACGGAAATTAACGTTAATTTATTAAATTTATTTTAACGTTTTAACGTTAACACATGCTACTTCGTAGAACAAGTACATTCTCTGTAGCCTTTCAGGGATTAAGTAAGCCTGACACTATCACTTGCATAGCAGCAGAGAAAACCGACTAAGTGTCACTTTTGTTTAAGCTACCAGAGCTATCCAGACTCCTGGGATTTGTCCTTCCAGGGCAGCTTGCTATGCAGCCTGCAACCCTGCTCTTCCACATATTTAAGATATCTGATTAAAGAGTTTGCATAGCCTGGGATTCCCAAAGCTGAAGTATACCAGTTTTGGAACAGACCTGCCATCCGCAGGATTAAAACCCCTGAAACCATTCAGAGGACTGAAGCATCCAAGCAGCAGCTCAGAGAAGTAAGCGGAGCCTAAACAGGCGCCAGAGCTCCAATTATTTTCAAAGCGAGGCTCACCGCTAGAGATTTAGAGACCTCCTCACAGCACTAGCTTCCCCGCCATTACAGAAGTTAATTACCTAGAAAATTACCTAGAAAACCAGCAGCCTAATGTGAATTTTAGCTTCCAATTATTGTTGACTAGAAGAGATATTTGGGGTAAAATACTTTTGAGTTAGATAAGTATGCACTTTTCTATGAAACAGACTGGAAAATTACTATCTATTTCTGTTCTCAGCTTGATCATTGAATAATTGTATGAATAATTTCTCGTCTAATTCTTTTAACTCCCCATCTAGAAAACAGGCTAGGATACCAGTCTGCCATAAAGAGGATAATCTACAGCACTAGATTTAGATGCTCAGGTGATAAGGTCTACGGAGGTGAAGTCTTACTGCCGTAGTCCTCATCACACACTCAGGAGTACAAAACCTCTTCTTGTCAGAAAATGGAGTGTTATCGCAAAATGTAGCATTGAAACAGTAGTTTTTAAGAGCAGGGGAGAAAAAAAAAAAAATGAGAGGGGTACAGGGAAAGTTACATGTATAAATATACATATACATGCCACACACACACTATATGAAAGTGTAATGTAAGTAAGCACAAATAAAATTCCTACCCTAAGCTGTATTGATCTGGTTCAATCATGATTCTTCTATCAATCCTTCCCACACCAAGGTTTGTCTCCACGATGCTGACAGAATGCCTCTGTCTCCTCTCATCATGCAGGGAGACTGGCATAGAGTCAAAAGAGGAATTGCTGACAATACTAGATCTGGAAGAAATTTCGCTGTGACCAGAATCTGAAAAGTTATCCACCGTGCCGCTAGGAGCCAAAGTATAGCCTGCAAAGGGAACGTCACGTTAATCAGACTCTCTGAGAAGCCTGCTCAGTTATTGCCAGGCAGCCGGCAGTACTGCTGCCAGAGCAAAACAAAACTGCAATTACATTTACACAGAGGCAGCACTGCAAAAGATAAATATACATAGCAGAACTGTGTAACACAGTGTATCCTGTCTCTTAATAAGAGGTTTAAGATGGTGGGAACATGCACTGCTCATTTAGAAACCAACTGCCCACCTTCCTTCTTCTCTCCCCTCCTCCCCCAAATTATTTTCAAATGCATCATCATATTTGTATCCCCACATTATGGAATCTCACTTCTCAAAAAAACTGCCTGTGCATAAACACGGTCTCCAGGATGGGAATAAAAGAGAGGCCCTGGACAAGATTACTGCTTAAAATACTCCAGGAGACCCCCTCACGCGTTTTTTCTGTTCTGCAAAGTTACACTTCAGAGATGAACAGCAGATACAACATGAAACCCAGATGTCTGGGCTGACCGCTTATTACGTATCTTGGCTGAGAGAGGGCCAGATTTTCAAGCTTTCTTTGTGGTACTTGGCTGACTAATTACATTCCAAATAGCGCATGTTACCAGAATTATACCGTAATTTGGAGGTAGCAGTGACACCGCCAGACTGAGATAAAATCTGCAAACCATGTCACAGAGGCAAATTCAGCAACTTCAGCTTTTCTTTTAGTATTAAACAAAGTTGTGCTGAATGCTTTTGCCAGCTAAGTTAAAGATCATTAAACAACATACACCCACAAGGAATTGCAGTTTTCATTATTTGCTTTCAGTCCACACATACGTGTCAAGATGACTTCAACTGACCTATCCCAATTCACTTGCTAAGAACATGGAATTAATGCTGCCGCTTTTGTCTGAAAGAACATACCACTTCTGTCTGGAAGAACGTACCATTAGTTTCATACCACCATCAAACCAAGGATTTTTTTTTTTTAAATTTCTAATCATGTTTATGATTTGCTTTTTGCAAAAATAAAGTACTTTTCCCACTATGAGTCAAATACAGAATCCCAATTCCTTTTTCAAGAAATGCACAGGCCTGGACATATCGATATAAATTCACTCTTTGCTAATGTACTATCTGGGAGAAATCATGATGATGGCTTACAAGGACTCGAGGTGATAATCTAAGTCTTCTCTACATAACATCCTCCTCCATCTGACCTTAGTTAATACCACTTCAACAGAGATTTTGGACAGGCATTTGTACTTTCTTGCTATAATTATCTCTCCCCTTTTCAGATCTCTGCTTATGCAACTGGACTTACTTTTTCCCCTTTTGTTTCCATAAGCCCCAGCTACCCCAGAGGCCCTTGGGGAATTGTTATTCTTGTTACTGTTCTCACTTCCAAGAGAAGAGGAACTGGTTAGGTCCATTAGTCCGGAGCCGTAAGGCCTCAACTGATCAGCTCTGCCACCTACCACATTAAGAAAAGGGCTTAGCTATCCATTTGATAAGGAAGTAGAAAAAGTGATGCCCACATAAGTTTCAAATCCTTACCATCCCTGTGCAGTTTAGGGGAAGTTATTGCTATAGTGAAGTCTCCAGCACACTTAATCTCTTTAGCATTCTGAACTTCTATTATGAGGACTCAACCCCAAAATATATACATTTTATTGTAATGTTATATTATGTAACTGTTAAACTGAACTTTTATGATATTCTGAAAAGAGAATAACTTAGAGGTTATCTGCAATACAACTCGGCTATCATAATTCCACAGGGATTTTTATTTTTTTTTGTTTAAACTACAGGAAAATGCCTCCATCCTCTGTTTTGTCAATTCATAACCAGAACAAGTACAATAAAAAAACCAGACAGACTTAAAAAAAAAAAATCCCTTTAAAGTCCTAAATTCAATTTAAAAATATAACTCTATAGAGTCACTTATAAAGAACTCAGTCAAGAAAGCTCCAATGTGTAATATCATTCCTCAAATATCCCTATACATTGTTTGAAAAATCAGGCTGCTAGTAAAACGTTGTATATTAGCGATTTGAATCCCAAATATCTTAAGCCTGCCTGTCATACATAGGTCACATCCCATCCAGATGCATGACACAGCAAATAATTCCTCTAATAGGCTAGTGTGCTCAAAGCTGTACAAAGATTTTAAGTTTCAATCTGCACAGCCTTCCGCTGGCAGGAAACACTGATGATGGGAATATTTGTGTCAGAAACAGCTGCAGTGAGAGTGACCTGCTGCATCAAATCCTCTATCAGATCAAGCTATCTTTCCTCACTTTTGCTAACCAGAGGGATTTCAGGTATCCCTGAAATCAGGTTCCCAGGTATCCTTTCACGTATCCCACTCTGCACTTCACTTCCTGCCCTCTTGCTGACCATATGTGAGAAAAATAGGATGAGCAGTAGTTTATCCTGAGAGTCAAAATTCTCCCTCAGAAGTTTCCAAAGTCCACGAGCTTCAGGAAACAGGATAAGAAATATTGCACGTCTAATACCTTTCCTTGGAGAGCTCTGCGGTGAAGTGGGAGGAGAGGACAGCTGTGAAGATGCACTTGAGACTGTGTCTTCAGATTGTTTCTTGTGACGATCCAAACTTCCTTCTTCAGATAATGAAAGAATTTTCTTTAAAGCTTGTGGGGAGTTAATGCCTTTAAATAAGACATAATGTAGGGAGATGTAAAGTCCAGTATAAACACATCTTTCTGTTTCACAATGCATTTATAGAGCAGACACCATACAGAAAAACCTTAATTTTTTTCCTGTATACTTCTGAGTTTCTGAAAACAGCTTAAACAAAGCAAAACATTCAAGCCTACTCCTGTTTAAAATACAGTACTGTATTTCTGCATATTAGTGAGGCCAGTCTTTCATTCTGGCCACCTAAAATAAATATGCAGATTTGGTGTTGCAGAATACTACCTATATGATATGTAAATCAAGGATATGCATAGTAATGATTACAGAGAAACTTGAACTAAAATGATGTTGAATACAAACAAACACAAATCTCACTGGTTAGGGAAGGTTTGTATAGCAAGAATCAAAACTGTTCACCCGTTTCTTTTCTATTCAGAGTAGCCTAGAAGGTCAAAGAAAGCTGAAAAGAAGATTAATAAGATCGGGCTTACAAAACAAGGCCATCCTGCAGCTGCCTTCTCCCTTTCATTTTTGAGGCCTATCTCTGCACCAGCTTATTTTGGGAAACTAAAGAGTAAAAACATCCTGAAGATGATGTATGATGTAAAGATCTAGGGCATCAAGAATTGCTTTTCTCAGGCAACATTTAACCATCTTTCTTTTCCCATCCCCTCAGAAATCCACCCTGGGACAGTCTTAAAAGTGAAGACGGAGCTTCTCTGACAGTTTTGCCAATGTTTGTGGTAGAGGTTAGTTTCAAGAGTTCTACAGAATTTATCTTTGATGTGTTGGATCACAATGCTGTTATCAATAATTTACAGCTGCTTCATCAACATAACCTAATCAGTTTTCAGAAACTTTCTCACCATGAGCAAAAAACGTAGTCTATGGTGCTTCAAAGTCGTCTTAAGATTAAAATTTAATGGTAAAATCAACACGAACTAGATGAATATTGAATTGTTTCTTGCTCGTTTAGCTGCTTCTAATGTTTCGCTAGCAGCCTAAGCAGTGCACAAGTAAAACTAAGAAAAACTGAAATCAGAAACTGAATCTCTTGTGAAATTACCATTACGCAGTAGGAAGGGCCAGTTATACTACATATACTTATTAGGAATATTACTGTACTTTAAGTGATATGCATTATTAAAGAACTTCTTACATGTATGTTATGTACATGTGCTCGGACACAAATTTGGAAGTCAGATGAGAAGGACTTCCTATAGTCCAGTATCTTTCTGAGTGACATGCAGGCAGCAACAACTGAATAGCAACAATAAAGAAGCACTAGGGAGCAGAAGCCAAAGGGACAATCCTCAACGTGAAACTTCAGGCCTACATTTCTAACAGGACTACCAGTCTGAGCAGGCCTGAATTTCACATTACATTTTCAACTTTTGAAAAAACACCAAAACTTCTGAGGCATCTCAGATGGGTCACTCAAAAACTCCAAGTCACTAATCCCTTTGGATAAATTAAGCCAGGATCCCAGGATAGATATAAACATTCGTTCTTTCCAGCTGCTAGTAACAGGTAAATACTTATACTGACTAAATTGACAGGATGCTTTCCTAGATTTATTTCTTTCAGTTTCCAGAGAAGATAACTAGGCATACACACCACATGAACTGGTAGAACCTGCAAATAATACCAGCAGAAATAAATGTCCGAATCTTATTTGATTAAAAATGTCTCACTGACATAAGCAAACAAACTTCAGAGTATTAAACCGAACGCTTCATTGTTCCACTTACCAAATGGAGGGAGGTCTTTGACTGGCACTTTCTTGCGAGAGGGATAAAGAGATACGGCAGGGACCTGCAATGCTTGGTTTACTTTATGTTGCTGCTGCTGCTGCACTTTCTGCTGGATGCCTGCCCGGGGAGCCACTGGTGACGTTTCAGATTTTCCAGATCGCTTGTCTCCTGTACTCTTCGGCACTTGGCAAGAAATGGGAGAAAGCACAGAATGACTACTGGCTAAAAATGTTGTGGGAGTTTTGATCTAGGCAGTGCAAAGCCCTCCAATTAACAAGTAAAAGGTGCTCAAATACTTGTGCAATTAATGCAGTATGATAACTTTAGGGAGACAAGATGAACATGAAAAGAGGGGTAGATTTAACTCAATTTAAAATATGTAGATTACCAAGAACATTTACTCTCTTTCACAGAGTAAGACTCTCATAAATTACTATTGTTATAGTTACCAAAAACATGACCAGAAGTTATACAGGGCTATAATAAGGACTACAGCTAGTTTAGAATGGATATATAATTACTATTTTTTGCTACTGTGAAGGAAGGGAAGGGCACAAGATACAGCATTCCCTCAAATCAAAATGAAACAGATATATCCAGCACAAAGTCTGCCTCTGCTGCAGCCAGGCACAGCCCTCCAGATGTCTCAAACACCTGGACATAAGGAAATCCTCTTTTCCCTCTTAATGCCAGGATATCCAGGATGACCAACCCTATTCACAGCAATAGCCCGAGTACATCACAACTGCAGTTAAACTTTCGTCTCCTCCCTACCCTTTGTACAGACACATCTAAAGAACCTGTGTTCACTTCAGCATGACATCATCTGAAAGCCTTATCTTCTATATAAATGTTATGTCTCTATATTGTTAATCTGCAGGAAGATTTCCTTAAGATTCATAGATGTTCAGTACTTGGGAACGACTAGACACATCATTTTCCACCTCATTGTCTAGTTGCTGTTCACTATTACTTCCCTGGAGAAGAAACAAAGGTATATTTAACAGTTTCCTTGAAATCCGTAGCAAATTGCAATGCTCACGTGTGTTGGTGGCTGGCTCACACTGCAGAGACAGTGTCTGGAGGCTCTCTTCATCCATTTCCAGATCCAAGTTTGAGAGATACTGCTTAACTTTCCGTGCCATCTGAGCATCTTCATACAGTTTTTTAGCGTTAAGGAAGGAGCTGCGACGGACCCGCTTTTTATGCCCCCCTGTTTGCGCAACGTCCAGCACGGCTGCATTCGTACTGCCCTGGCTGAGGGACCTGGAGCAAAGGGGGGCCAGGAGGGGGAGGAGAAGAGGGGAAAAAGTATGACTTAGTCCAACACAGTATCATTTGATAAACATGAAACGTGCAAAAGATTGCATGAATGTCAGTCTACGGTCAAAGCTTACATGCCTCATTCCAGTAAGTCAAACAGCTATAACAGATAGAAAGATGAGGGTCAGGAAATCTTTTTACTTGGTTACAGGCACTGTTTTAATTACACAAATATTTTAATCTGTTCTGCTCCAACTAGGCAGTATCACTTCACACATCTAGAAAAGCATTCAAGCTAGCTCTCACGTAAGCCAGCTACTGAGAAGATTGGAGCATTAGGAAAAGCTCATGCAGTAAAGCAATGCTGACAGAAGACTACAGTTGAGGTTCAAATTCAAATACACATACAGAAGGCATTTTGAAAGCTCTCTAAATGCTTTTTAAATCAGACCGCATACAAAATGTGCAGCTCACTTTTACAGAACAGAAGTTCCTTGTAACTTCCTAGGTTGAAGACAGTTTTTTGTTAAATGAAATGATCAGCTAGTTCATGATGAAATAAATGCCATGCACATTTCAATGTATGCATGTCTATATGAAAGCTATGCATTGTTCCTGAATTGTTAAAGAGTAAAAATGATGGCTGAATTGCAATATGGAAGTAAGTTAGTTTAGCAGCTACTGTAAGTCTTAACTTTTGTATTTGATTGTGACAATTGCTTATTAGGCATAAAAAGTTAAACAGCAATTTTCAGCTGCTGCAGCCTTGCCATTTTATAATTTCTCTTTCACTGAAAGTCACTTCCTTTAGCAATTTAAATTGGAGGTGGGGGAGAAGAACACCCCACTCCTATCTACAACCACTTACAAATCATTTACAACTTTTATGTTTTAACCTCAAAAGCAAAAGCACTCCTGAATTAAAATGTATTGTCAGTAAAAAAGGGTTAACAAAAGAAAAAAAATGTCAAAGCGCCGGAAAATTAAAGATAGCAAGTAGGAAACAATGCAAATGGTAAGGGAAGAATGAACGTCTGTGTGCGTTGTCTCCAACCACTTACCCCAAACTCCTCCATTTCTTCTTCCTGCAAGTGAGAGCCAGGAAGAGTAAAGCATGGGTTTAAGAAGAGACAGAGAAAGATCACAAGCTCAGAAAGAAAAAGACCAGACCTCAGGACAAGCAGTTCTGGAAGCCCACAAATATTAAAGAGAACCTTGACTCGGGCATACAGTCAGATATTACAAACTCTTCTAACTCAAATTAAGAAAAAGAGTATGCAATAAACTGGTCTAACATGAAGCCAAAGAGCATTCACTCCAAGTTTTCTGACACTACTAGCTGACACTGTTTCAGATACATTGCCACTTCTACTAAATCAAAATGGTAAGGCTGGCACACATCAACATTTCAGACTAACACATATGTCTTTGAGACAGTATCTCCCCCTCCCTCCCACTGGGTGGTGGTGGAATATAATTTTTATGAAGTAAGTGGCAGCTAAGGAATAATATAAACTATTTCAATATATATTGATAAACACAAAATGTAATGATTGCTCCAGTTTTAGAACACGACAATTTTGGTAAATTGTTAACAACAAACAAAAACCTGATAATGCTCCAATACAACAAGTGGCACTTGAAAAGCACCTCTTGCTGACACCTAGCCTTCTCTCAGCTGGGAAAAGCTCTGCCTAATACAACACACTTACCTCGTTCTAAACATTAAAGCAGGATCCATGTTGACAGAAGCCATGCGACCAACATGGCGTATCTCCTTTGCAATCATTCTCAGCTTCTCAAAATTGACCAAGCCCTCCACTTTGGAATCATTTCCTACAATCAACAATTAACACCACCAGTTATTAGGTAGCAAAGGTAGTTTTCCGTGTCTGGTAAAAGACGACGTACTTCTGCTTTTACCTTCGTGAAGGAACGTAAGGTCTTTTTTGATAACAGGAAACAGGGGGATAATGGGGGGCTGTAGGTTTTGGCTGTTAAGGACGTTACGATATTTTGCCATATTCCTAGATGGATCAAATAAGTCCTGTAGATCTTGAAACAGTTTTTCGTACTTGCTTGGAAGCTTTTCCCAAGTAGTTCGGAGCCTTGCAACTGGTGCCAAATTCAGGCCACTTGAAACAAACAAAAAAAGTGCAAAAAAGTTCAAGGACAATAGGAAAAAACCAAAAAATACTAGAAAAGACCATGTTGAATTTTGTGTGGGAGAAATACCATATAGCCAGAATAGCATAGCACAACAATGTCAATAAAGTAACAAAGTGAAAACTTCCTTTCACCAGCATGTATTACAGAACAATTAAGATTGTTTTTATAAAAGCTATAAAAACCTGGAAATAGCTGCATGATGTAACCATAAACAGATAAAAACTACACTTGCATGAGTAATTAAACCTTACAGAGAGTATGTACTTACTACTTTGGAACAGTGTCTGAATTTATAACAATTTCATAATCAGGAGTACCTCAGGATCACCACTTATTTCCAGATTACCAGGCTGGAGGAAAAACCATCTTCCACATACACAATGTTTATGTGGTGACAGCACAGTGGCCCACCTTCTTGCTGCAATAATCCATCTGACTTTGCTGTGTCTAGATCAAATTGTTATAACGGACTCTATATATTTGAGGTTATTCTGAAGCCGCAGCTGGTACAAAACCCATTTTTTTTTTCCTTTAACGGCACTGCCTGTCTTGCTCTTCATTTCTACCTATGGGAAAGTTTGGTATCTAGAATCTTTCCTTCATTCAAGGTTTCGCTAGCCAGCAGGCTGCTTTTATTTCCTCGGAGAGATCAGCTGAAGCAGCTGAGCTAAATCTTGAGATTTTTGTCTCAGAGATGCTGGCTGATTATCAGCATGGATCTTTGACTTTGGAACTTGCCATGTTTGATTGAATGGTATTCAAAACCAGTGATCTTCAGAAAAAAGTGTCACATTCAATCTGTTGATTGAATGTAACAAGGGCTTTTGCCAGAGAGAGTGATAAAATTATCATTTTAATGCAACTTACTCAAGCTTTTTCATAAGTGACAGTATTTAGGGATTTTCTTTTTTTTGTTAGGTTCTTTCTGCCTAACTTGGGAGACTCTAACGGAAGTGTGAATGTTTTAAAAAATGTGTATAAACACACACCTTAGAGTTTCCTGTCCTCCTTCTCATTCCAAAAGTAAGAAAGGTTTTCTCTCTGAGATTTTCAGTACATTTTTCATTCTTATTAAAAGATCTTTATTTACAGCTTATTATAAGGCAGTGTAGTCTGCTATTGACTATTATCAGAGTTCCATCCAAGAAACTGTTGTTACAAAGAAAACCAAAGGCAACATATCATGGCTCACTGAATTCAAGATAGTGGGAACTACATATAAAATTATGAGCTCCCTTTGGGAAACTAACGCATTAATTTATGACAATGTTACAATTTTTCTGCATATAACCGCTATTTCTCTTGGTCTTTTGTTTTTAAGTAAGTGTAGTAGTTTCTCTAGTGCTGTGCTCACCAATGACTGTTGCCTGCCTGTCTTGAGCAGTAAGTACATAATAGTAGCATTTCTAATAATATGTCAGCAAACATTTCAATGTCAAGTCCAGATTACTGGAAAATGCCCTCCTTATTGGATTGCCAAGTGTTGATGTTAGCAGTATTAATTGGTTTACTCTGTTAAATACTTTTTTTTTTAGACTGACATAAGTAAGACTGTGCTTTTTACTTAGAAGTAAAATTATTAAGGGGCAATACCTAATGATGGCAAACATTGAGTTGAAGTTCTTGCATTCTCTGCAGTGCAGTGCTATCTTAATGAAATGCTTAATGATCTTCATCCTTTTCAGTTGATTGGTTTCTCTCAGAATCTCAGAAGCCACCCAGAATGTTTCTTGATTTATCACCTCTTCAAACTTTTTTAGATTAGTGCAACCTGTTTTTGATTTGAGTTTAAACAAGTCATCTATGTATTCCGTGGGCTCAATGTTACGGAATAGGTCAAAGTTTCTCATGGAAAGTTGGGTAGCCACCTCAACAGTACTGAGCTGTAGTAAGGAAATTTGACTTTCCCTTAATAACTCTTGAGCATCTTCATCTGAACAAAGTGTTTCTGTTTCCATGTTGTTCTTCAGGTAATACCTGTAAAAACAAAATTCAGAAAGATACTAGATACAAAATACTAGCAAAAGTTACTGTCATCATCTAGTTGGAATCGTAGAATAAACTGAATTTCACCAGGCCTAGATATTAATTAGAAGTTGCATAAGGAGCGATTTCTTGTAAAGAAACAGAACATTAATAATTAAGTAGCACTCCTGTTAACAGGATTTTGACTTAGTAAACTGGCATAGTCAGCTTTAGCTGACAGTCTCCAGACTCACCTGCCGCTCAGCTGTATCCTGTCAGCTAGCTTGGATAACTGATCAGGAAGCCTCCTTTGCTTGATGACACCCTCAGGTGTGACAGAGACTTCGCATAGTGAATATGCATCAGGGGTTGCAGTGAGAGCAAATTCCCTGATAGCCTGGATGACCACTTCTTTTGCTGTTGTGTCCTTACTGATCATGATGTAGCGACTTTGCTGATCTGCCTTGAAAACCCTCAGAACTTGATCTGGTAAGTCTGGAAAAAAGAAAATTACATGCAAGGTATGCAACTTAGTAAAGAACAAAAAATAATGGCATAAAAACAAGCAACAATATCAGTTACGTTGAGTCTAATTATTAATTCATGCAACTAAGCCTGTAACTTTCAAGCTCACAGTAGTATTTTTGCAGCTTGAGAAGCACTAATACTAAAACATATTAGAACCGAGTGATTACACCATCAGTTACACATAACAGGTATCAGTACAGGCCAGTTTTTATCCCTTTCCAGGTACTTGAGTCAAGTGTACAAATACCTTATAACTAGCAAGCCAATTTTGCCTTTTATCACCAACTCTATATTGACCTGTCTTCCTTCGGTAATTATTTAGGAGGGATACAGAGCAATGCTTGAAATAATTTATACGGTTCTTGACATCTTGAGGAAGGCAGATGCCAAAGACACAGCCTTTCCGAGAGGTTATTAAAAAACAGACTGCTCTCTAGATCTTGTTGCCTCTTGATGTTGCAGAAATACTTGCCACTCAAAGAAACACTACAAAAATAGGAAGCTACTGTAAACAATACCAAGGTGGGAACTCGCTTAACGCTCCCAAGAAACAAGTGTTTTGTGCAAGGAGGAAATAACCTGCTCTGCTGGAACACTGAAGTCAATAAGAAGAAATGCAGAGAATGGCAAATAGAAAAGTATCATCTTTGCACTGTATTTTACCTTCCAAATATCTCAGGCTGCATACCTATCAGAGCTGGTAACAAAAGCACTACACAGAATACAGAGAAGTCTGCCAGCAATTGAAATGATTACAGCTATAGCAATGGCAGCAAATAATTCAGAACAATAATTCTTAAATAAAACCGCACTTGAAGAGAATTGTAAACACCCCCCTTCATGCCTTTTCAAAAAAGGAAACTGGAGTGGCAGGCTGAAGAATGCAGTGCTATATGATAGGAATCTAGTCCCTTAGAAAGCTTGCATGGGGAAAAAAAAAGTACCAGTGACTGGCAGCTCATCATTACTATATTATTTTGACTTTCAATCGAATAGCAAAGACAGCACAAGAGAAGAGAAATCAAAGTGCTATTGACTATTTGAACATTTAAAAATAAACCTTAAAAAGTGTATTTGAAAAAGCCTGAGCAAATCAGAAGAGAAACTAAAATGACTCCTTGCAGATTTCAAGCTGTTCTCATTTTCTTGTCAGAGACTACCCTTCCAAAACAGCAAGTTGTTTTATTTTCTATCCTGAGGGATATTCCCGAATACCTCAAAGGACAGCTGTTCTACCACTTTTCTCTTTCTTCTCCAGCGCATTCAATTTCTTGCAAGCTGCCTACATCTCTAATTTAGTCCAAGGTAATAAAAGAAATTAAAAATGCAGGCTTTAATTTTTTCCAAGTCTTAAAGTATATAGAGGTATAATTCAACTCTTCTATCTACATTGCAACCATCCCTAAAAAGCCCTTAAGGTATATGGTTTTTATTTCAGTTCCCTTTTTCCTCTCCTTGCCACACAGGGAAAAATTATACCTATGAATTGCTTTATAAATATTCAGTGCATGGATATTTGGGCAAATTTTAAGCAAAGGAAAAAAAAAAGAGCTTTTTTTTAAAAGTGAGAAAGCACTAATTACTTAATACATTTTCTGTAAAGATAATGAAAAAGCTGCTGTAACACTGAAGCAATGGCATTATATCATTATTTATCTCCTTTCCTCAAAGCAAAAGGCAAACAGTAGAAAATTCTTCATTTATTAAACTTCTCCAAATTCCATCTGTGATTGAAGGATCTTCAGACCTCCAATGACTTTCCTTCTCAATTAATGAGGTCGTTTGAGCTGTGTGAGACAGCGATGTCCACAGCTCTGAAGTTAGCCAGTCGCTGTGCTCGGCATTAGGGCACATTAATTACCTAGAACCGTCTGGTCTAGGTAAATGGCAAGCTGGAGAATGGAATCTTCACCCATTTATAGATAAAGTGCTGAAAAGAGTACCTTCAAAGTGTTGGGCACTAGTCGTTAGACAAAACACAAAAAAATACCAATCTTCCCATTCACTCGGGAGCAATCTTAAGACATTGGGACAAAAATCACACACCACCTTCTTGTAGTCTTCTCTAGCCCAAAAAAACCTGAGATAAAGGGATGCTTATATCACAATTTCAAGTGTGATGATTGCACCAACCCAGCCAGTACATAGGCTGATGTTTAAGCACCATCCCTTTTAGTTTTGAAATCCCTCAGGCTTAGAAGAGCACTGAATTTTCAGTTCTACTTTTGAGAAATACTCCACTTTTGAGAAATACTCTAAAGATTAGGCTAAAATAACCAAGTGTCTGCACAGTGTCCATCACCATATCCTCCTCCAGCAGCTACGTTTTAATAGCAAAGATTTGGATACTTAACTCAGAGAAGGTTTCCTGCTAAGAACCTGCCTGCAGCCAGATAAGAGCCCAAATCCCAACCCTGCCAGGAGCTCTGGCTAAACTCTTCTCATAAGATAAGGCTCTCAAGTTTCTTATAGTCTCCCCCTTTCCCCTCCCCCCCCACGTTTGCTGCTCTCTGATAAATGTGTTCATTTTTAAATCTATTTCATAATGGGATTTTAAATCACTTTATATAGAAATAATTCAGCTGTAGGGCAGGGTAACTAACAGGGAATTTTGGAACTCTGCCCCTTACAGATGTAGTACAAGATTATGTAAGTCTGTTCCGAACAAGGCTGAAACACATCCTGTGTCCCAGTCCAACGCCCTTTCGCTTTACTGTAAGCTAATGGTCTACTGTGCTATTTGACAATACTGCAGTCTTGTAAAGACTGATCTATCAGGGCAAATTATAAAATACCAAGCAAAATAAATTTTCACTGGCCATTTAATCAGTAAGAAGCAAGCTGTGTACAACATACTTGAAAAACAGACATGTAACACATTTGTGTAATGTATATTGGAGCAAATGTAATAAATCCTAATGCATTAATATGTGGCTAATTGGTGGGTGACAGCATACAGTTACTAAAACTCACATGCATCTTCAGACTCTGGAAGTCCAGACGAAAAAAAAAATAAATAAAAAGGAGATCAATGAAAGGAAATTATAAGGTCAAGTGCAGCAAGAAAAAAGCATCCTTACCTGGAGTAGTATTGAAGTCTAAGATGCGGTGATGAGACTGCAGTAGATCGGGATTACTGGATGACAGGGTTCCACTGACAGGTAAAGCAGGAGGAATGTGCTTCGTTTGCCTCAGTCCCACAATGCTGTCATCCTGAGACTGGCCAATTCCAATGTCACTGCATCCAGAAAGAAACAAAATCAGGACTTACAGACATCCAGAGCTTGGGCTATACCAGAGGGACAGAGGGACATCTATACCGCTACATTTTCACGCTATTTAGAAGTTAAAATTCTCCAGACAACAGTGCTTGATGTCTAGCTTTGTCAACAGCACCCAAATGTCCCCTCCAAGTGATTAGATCTGCCTGCTCACACTGCCAGAAGATCCTCATGTTCACCACTAAGCTTTGAGGAGCTGCTAGGCTCATTATTTTTTGATGATTTCTCACAGCGTCCAACATCTTTATTCAAAAGGTGGTACACACCTCATCAGTCTTGCACCACCCCATCACCCAAACTTTGACTAATACTCCTGTCCCCTCAGTGCTGTTTTACAAGACCTGAATTGCACAGATTTTTCACCCCACCACAGATAGGCTTTGCAACTGTACTTCGGGACGTATTGTAGCCATACAATGTAAGATCTTTCAACAGACAGGTAAGAGACGATTGTTGAGATCATCCATTTTCCTACCCTGTACCACCTTTTCGGAGTTTCTCTTCACTGAATGTGACTGAAGTGATGCCAGCTAACTTGGAAGGCTAAGGTAAGCATTGGCACTTGGGTCCTATTAGTATCCCCTCTAAAGTGCCTGACAGCTGTAAATAAAATATTCTGTGATAAAGGTGAAGGATTTTGTCTATTAAATTTTGAAAAGCAGTGTCCCAAAGGAGGTCAGTAGTGCTAGATGGATCAAAGACAGAGCTATCATCATATTATAGTAGGCACTAACTTGCTTACTGCTTTTGAGTTCAGCAAGTGAAGCAGAACAGCTGCTACAGGATGTAGAGTTGGAGCTAGCCATTGAACTTTTCTATAACTATAGAGATGCAAATCCTTAATAAAACACTCTGAGGGTGTAAAATGTTGAACAGCAGCCATTATAGAAAATGATTAAAAATTTAGCTACTATAGGCAAAGCCTTTTTAAAAGCCAAGCACATCTAAATCTGTACCTACACATGTAAATAAAGCATAAACCAGAACTTAAGGTTTCATTGCAAACTGCTGCAACTCTATAATAAAGTCAGGCTACAAAATTAAATGATGCAACACAAATGACCATTTGTACCCTAATTTTGGGCACTTAAGCTTTTGTCTAGTGTTCTATCCCTCCTCAGAAAAACTGAACAGAAGTCATTAAGAGCCTGATAATTATCCCTGTTGAGCTGTTACAGCACAAGCATCCTTTTGTGCTTACCAATGACTTATTTTACCCAGTACACTCTTGTACCACTTCTTTAAGTGCTATGAATTGAACAGTACTCTGGGAAGCTAGGAAGGTATCTCTGGGCATTTAAGACCAATTTTAATTATATGGACACAGCAACTGCTTTTAAAAAAGGCAATGCAACTCAAAAAAGGTTAGAGGGGTATCTCTGTATGATGTACTTGGGTTTTCTCACTGTCTTTAAAAAAAACAAGATAACTTTGTATTACCAAAATATTTTACGAAGTGAAAAACCCCAAGCCAGGAGAGTGACAGAAACACTCAAGTCCATTGAAAAAAAAAGTTCTTGGATTCTCTCTCAATCAGAAGTTAAACTGAGTCTGAACATCTGTATTTTTGTACTTCCACACAAAGCACAAAATACTGTGACAAGCAGTGATGATCAACTCAGCACACAGCACTTTTATGCTAAGCCACAACCAAGTCTTTCACTACAGCCAAAAGCATTCCCAGCAATCGATGTCTTGTCTTTCAAGTAGGAGCCATTCTGCACACAAACAAACAATCCAAGTAAAAAAAAAAAAAAACCCAAAGCCCCTGAACCTCAAAATGGTTTCTGGTGATTCTAAACAATATAGTATCTTTCATAGATGTGCTAACACCAGTACTTTCTTTTAATTCAAATCAAATTAAGACAATGTGACTCTCCCCCTTATATTAATAGTTTCATTTGCATTATGTATTCCTTTTGCGGTTTGTCAGTTTTATATAATCTTATACCTATCCTGTGCATCATGACTAAAGCAGCTTCAGTAAAGTGGATCAACTGACAAATATTAGGTGGTTTTTTTTAAAAAAAGTAATCTTTCTAAAATTCTTCTTGATTCTAAGTATTCATATACCAAGTTGGAAAGTATTTACCTTACGCTCAGGTTACTCTATTTTTAAAACTTGTATCAGGATCTGAGTGAGTTCTAACTTACGCAAACAAGAAACAAACCCCAGAAATTTCAGATACAAATAGCTACACTAGAAGACTCCAGGTCCCACAAAGATCAACTGCCCCTGCTGCTAGGTAAACTGTTTTATTATGCCGGTGAAAGGAGATTGTGGTTTTAAAGGAAAGGCATTTCTGTTGCTTTCTGTATGCACTTGCCATGCAGGGAGATAGCATTAACTAAGAAATAACTTCCCTGCTGAATGACAAACCAGGGAAGAAGGAATAATGGAATGGCAGCGCTGTCTGAATGCTTCTTCCTTCAAAATAGAGTATACTGGGCATCCCACTGCAGGGCTGCAAACAGAGAGAGGAGAGAGGGGGGCTGCTGCTTTGCCTGGGATGCTGCACTATGGACCAGGCAGGACTTTGCTAGAGATAGAGGTGGGGTTGCATTTAATCCTTATTTGGAGCCACTGAGCCTACAGACCACAAAACCACTCTGGATTAGAAGAGTAAAGAAAGCAAAGAGCTCGAGTGGAGGCTGCAGCCAGAAGCACACTTCAAGAGATGCCTCATAGTTAGCGGAGAGAAGATTTGCCAGTAGATGCAGAGAAAATGGTGCTGTTTGCTTGGTTTGGGAAGTTACTTGACATTCTTGGACTAAAGAGCAAGCCTGAAAGAAGGCATTCTCTCTCCTGCTCAAACTGATTCGTCTTTGATACCGATTTAATGTCTCACAAAGCAGACAAGCTCCCTCTGAAGAGTGTCCTCATTCTAGTTTAAAGATTGGTTTTACCTGGATGTATTCTGGAGGCACTGGAAACCTCTGCAGTGTTCACATTCAAAAGAAGGTGGACAGTTTCGCCCCATAAGCTAGCTGACTCATGAAGTCTTTAAATACCTACTTTAATTAATGAGTAAATCAGCTTTTTCATCCCTCTTGATTTTTGGTATTTAAAAACACGTGAGAACAAGTAAAGTCCCTTGATATACACGATATCATTAATTATTAGGAAGAACAAGATAGATTTTTCTACACAACAGGGGGGAAAAAAAGGCACAAATAGTAAAGTCTACAGCTTTACTTTAAAGGCTACCTCTATGCAGAAACTGTGCAAACAAACAACTGAATGTCAACAGGCTTTGCAGACAAATTGCTATATATAACACATGAAATAAAGCTAGCAAAAGGAAAATAGGTCAAGTGTACTCTTTTTCCGAGTCTTACCCAAAGAGGTTCCTGCACAGAAAACGTGCAAAATTGAAAGGGATCAAAGAAAAAAAGAAAACCAACAAAAAAATTTTATGCAAAAGCTGCAAACAATGGTGAACAATGCAAGAAATCACGCCTAGCAGTATGCATGATTCATTAGAGGAACAAACATACAAGACCAGTAAAATAAAATAAAACATTCTAAAGACAACATAAAAAAGGATTTACATATTCTCTTCCACTGAAACATATCTGCATCAATTTAAGAAATATGCATTATCTGGGTATGATAATTTATATTCATTTAACCTTTACATTACTATCATTCTGTTTATAATGTTCCAGAACAGTATTAATTTAGTAAAAACATTAGTTAAGCAAACTTTTTTTTTAAGTAATAGCAGTAAAAAATTCTAGATTTTCAGCACAGTCTTTTTCGTGATTTTACACAGAGTAAGTTTCTTCCTTAATGGGACACAGAAAAGAAAAATGCAAGAGAAAACACTGATTACACATCAACTATCCTCTACAATTCTTTTTTCCCCATCAACGCCATCTGTCTTGGCCAAGAACCAGATTCCCATAAAATCATATAAAACTCATTCTTCTATTGTTTCCAACAATCCTCATCAGAATTCTATTTCTAAAATGTTTTCATAGAATAAAAAATATCAAATACCATATTTAGCTTTCATTAAAAAATACTCAATTCTATCAAAGAACCCAAGTTAAAATTTTAACCTCAGTCTCCCTTAACGGCAGTATGCAGAAATTCTTATAAACAGCTGGAGTGTGGATAAGTTGAAATCATCGCTCCTATCAACCATTTGCAAGCAAACCTGCTTGCAGAATTATTCTGAAATGAATTGCCTGGGATGCTTCCAGTTAACAGCACTCTTAAAAGAAAACAGTAAATTACACGAAAACGTATTTGTGCCATCACTTTAACTATAAGAAGTCCATATTGATGTCCAGAGCAGCACTGTTAGTAGTTTATGATCTTTCAAATATTCAGACTAGTATTTTCTTGTATATTTTTTCAGATATAAGCATGGTTTGCATTAATAAATAAAAAAAAATCATGACAAATTGTAGTATCGTGAAAAATTATTAAAATTTAACACAAAGCAAATACTTAAGAGGAAACAAAAAACTCACTTGTATGGTTTCTGAGGCAGAATACTGATTCGAGTCTTGTCAAGTATCTTCTTTAATTTGTTTCTTCCCCCAACTGTGTTGGCTTTACTTTTCTTATTTACTTTTTCTAAGCCTATTACCTGCTCCACATCAACAGCAAGGTCTGGGATGGAATAACGACTCGCCTTTTTAATATCACCAATTTTAGGCAGGTGGGGAGCACCGTTTCTTTTTTCCTCTGATAACCGTGTTAAGAGTTCTTTAAAAACTGCACAAGACAGGAAAATGGAGGAAAGAAAAAGAACAAAAATGTAAAAGAAAGCTCTGTGCACCAGACCAGTTTAATATTAATCATTACCAAAAAACCTGATTAGGACATTCTGTCAATTCAAGTATTAAATGAATTGAGATGTAAGTTTTAAAAATGTTTATATTTTAAAAATTACATTAATTTTCTGTAGTATGAATCAGAAAATCAGAGAATTGGCGCAGCTCACAACAGAAATACACTTGATGACCACATGGTTGCACGGATGGTGTCAACAGAAGGACTTTGACTTTTCAAGCTAAGGACACAGGCTTCTTCAGAACAGGTGGACACATAAAAAGAGCACACTAGACAAAAATGAGGTAGGAAAACTAAAAACAGAGAAGGAAGGTTTTTAAACAGGTAGCCAGCAACAAAAGCTCTCAGATGGACAAGAAATTATTACCAACAGGATCAAAAAATCAGAAATCAGAGTGGAAAGCGCACAAAGTCAAAAGGAAAATGTAATAAAGTATGAGACTACTGAGATGCCTCGGATGTTTGACAGGGCTGTTGCATCCATCTGCCAGATATACAAAAAAAACCCTCAGGCTCCCTCAGCTCCCTAGTAAAGACTCATCTCCGAGGCAGAAATACCTGACGAATTTGTGAACTAGTTTTTCTACCGCAACTTTCAGCTTCACAAAAATGATGATATATTTAAATAAATCATAGAAAACTGATCTGGAGATGAAGTCACATATTCTGAGTGTGAGAGAGTCTCCATGTAAAAATGGAAAAATCATCTGACTAGTTGATTTGCAATAATATATGAAAACTGATAATTAAAATCAAGGAATTGTATAATAAGTGGGAACAAGGGCAACCAGCTAAGGGTGAGTATAAGGGGCTAGGTTTTACTATTAGGTATTAATTTTGTCCTTAATATTCATCCTTCTCTTCAGAGGTACACAACGAATCATCAAGAGACTTGAAAAGCTTCAAGACACACAAAGTGGAGAGTAATCTGAACCAGTAAGTGTACTGTCGAATAGGAGCTGGGGGCTGGAGAGACAAATCAGATACAGATAAGATTCTGTTAAAAAAAGGAAACTCTCCTTTTGGCATTTGTTGATAAGCAGTACTGCATGCAATACACAGAAAGCAACTCTTCTGAGGCTCTACTGTAATGTGATTTCAATATTTGCAGTAGAGAAACAAGATAAACTTAGAAAAACACAACTTCTGAAGAAGTGAAGAAACCGGGTTTAATCTTAAACAAACTGCAGCAACACATGAGATCCAGAAACCCTCGTGTGCGAAGGATGGTTACACAGAACTGACTCGTAAGAGAAACAAGCACATACTGCTAAACAAGCATATACAGACATATTAAGAAATGCCTTAATTATTAGAAACAATTGAAATACTAGAATCTTTACTGCAAAGCAAAAAAAAAATCCCCAGGAAACAGATTTGACAAATGACTTTTGGAGATAACCTAAGCATAGTTAATCATTGGTTAGTGGCAGTGACATCCTGTGATAATGTTCTGCCCTACTTATTTGCAATGAAGAACCCGATCCTGAAAGAGATACTTGGGGAACACATCACTAAATTATATAAATAATCCAAATATCCAGTGCTAAAAATAATCAAATAAAATGCACAAACTATTAATTACTTATGATGCTAAGTGAGGTCCAGAGCAGCTGAAAGACTCCTTCACGAATGCTTTAGTATTTGTTAGAGGGAGAAATGGAGATAATAGATTCGAAGGTTAGCGAGACTGTTTTCACCTAGCTGGCAAGAAAGTTTTTAGTAACCTTGTCACACTCATTGTAGCCATGGACTGAAAAACCACGAGGAAATTCAGCAGACAGATTAAGATCACGAATCAACTGAAATCCCAAAAGAGGCTTCTTTCTTGAGAAAGGACTAAATGTTCCACATACAAACATGTTTTATAAGTTTGAGCTGAATGTTCACAATAGTTCCTCTTAATCCAGAAACATGCACCTGTGAGAGTGAAGTCACTTCATGTAAGACTCTACACACAAATTTTTCTCTGCGGTTATGAACTAAGGTATTTCAGGACCTGCAAGCTTCCTTTTTCTATTCTCACCAGTACAAGAGTGTTTCAAACAAAGCTATTTTAAACTATTAAAAAAAATAAAATTTAAGACATCTAAATTAGAACAGAAATTAGAACAGAAAGTGCACGCAAACTTACCAAATAAATTGGTTTTCACAGTGATAGACAGATGAGTGTTATTTCTAAGGATTTCCATGGCTTTTGACAGCTGAATGTTTTCAAAGTTTTGACCATTCACTTCCAGTATCTAAAAATACAAACAGGTAGTGTTATTTTTATTTAGCAAAGACAAAGGAAACAAAAAGGGGACCGGGGGAAGACATTTTAAAATTACATACCTGGTCTCCACGTTTCAAGCCTGCTTCTGTAGCTTTGCTACCAAAATCTACGCTGTCAACAAAGATTCCAAATCCCTTTTCTGACCCTCCCAGCAAGATAAAAGGCAAAGGGGCTTCTCGAGATGGCTTTGTTAAGGTTATCAATCTTCTTTTAGCTTTAGCAGCACAAGCAATATTTAACAGCCTCAAATGTCCACCCATTTTCTACAAAAGAAAAAGCATAATGAATTACATATAGACAGCAGCCTGGCTACTCCCTGTCATCCCAAATTGTTGGAAAAACCCCTCACTCTTACCTCCCTCTCCAAATTGTTCTCAAATTCTTCCAGAAATCGAGTCATAGCAGGATCTCCTTCAAAATCATTGAAGTGATTGTTCACCCACAACAATACTACCCGTGTAACCTGAAAATTAATCAATAATATAAATATTTTCCAGGAATACCCAGAACAGAACTAGTGCTAAGTCCTTTAAAAATACTGCTCCTTAAAGTCCCTGTAAATTTACATTGGAATCCTAAATATTATATATATAACACCCCCCCCCAAACTAACTTTACTAATATGCAATCGTTTACCAGGAGGATAGAATGGATTAAGTATTAAAATTGCTTTCACTTGTATAAACAATTGTATGTTGTATTTCATAAAGGATGCTATGAGTTAGAAAATTAACACTGGCTGTGTCAAATTTGATTGAGTTGGGAATAGAGCACACAGGTACAAGGCAACGAGTTAGATCCATTTCTGTCTTATAACAATTTCCTGTTCATGTACATTTCCAAATCTGCTTAATTCTTCAAGCACATGATCATAAAGCTTCTGATACTGCTTTATATTGGTTCTTCAATCTCACAAATCTTTAGATAAGCCACCATTAACTTCATTAGGCATTTACCTGTGTGAAAGAGCTATTGTATGTTTAGAGAGGCAGGAAAAAGAGGCTATTGTGAGAAGCAGGAAAGAGCTTTTAAACAGGGAATACATGCAATTCTTTTCCTTAGAGTCAATCTTTCAGTTTACTACTCCTCCCTTCTCTCTACCCCTACCCCCCCAAGCAACCATAATTATCAAGTTCAGAAGGATCTGAACTGGTATTTTACAGTTTGTTAGGAAAAAACCCTAAATGAATACTATCAGTTAATATTATTGAAGGTAAAGACACAAAATGAGAACTGCATTTTTTAAAACTATGTGCTTGCACTATAAAATGTTATCTTAGTATGTGATTTGACCTGAAACATCAGCAGCACTTGTCCTGACAAAAAAAAAAAAAAAAGTTTTGATGTCTTGAATTAATATTGATTCATGCCATTTTAAAAAAGCTCCTGAATCCAAAATGGTTGTGCCACTCAAAGTTATCTCTAAAAATACAGCTGCATTTCTTCTGTAAAGCTGGGAAAATAAGGTAGTAGGGGAAAACCTCTGAACATTTCAAAAACAAGAGCTTAAGCACATAATCTCATACGAATTTTAACCAGCTAAAGCTAACCCCTGTCCGTTCTTTGCATCTGCACAAAATCTAAACCTCTGCAGCCTCTTATGCTAAAGGTTTGATACCAGGCATCCATACACAAACCCTGCCACCCTCATATAGATTTTCCAAGTAGTTTGCCTTTTACCCCAGAAAAGCAAGTGAATTCAGAAGAATTGCCGAAATTAATGACCAAACTCATCAAGTACTTCAGAACTCCTCAAGAGTTCAGATTTCTAACAGGAGGCAACCGCACAGCACTACCTGCTGCAGCCACAGGGATGTAGGCCGGGGTAGCATTTCTGAGATATTTGGTATTTTTCCACCTTTGAAAATGAAATTCCTTTCTGTTAAAGATCTGTGGTGTTTTTCATTAATGTGGATGACATTGGAAGATCCAGAGGATGAACGGTTAAATTTAGGCTAATTGCAGATTTTTAAAATTGGCTGGGAAGTTGCAAGCCATACTGTATTAATATATTTTAAAACTCTGCAGCAATAGTTTCAGTATCAATGCTGCTTTCAAAGTTGGGGCTTACTAACGTACACCCAAATGACACCACGCTGGAAAGGGTTGAATGGTGACTTCCAGAGGAATGCCATTATTTGTGTCACAACCAGGAACATCATTAAAAGAAGATTAAAGCTGTAAAGTACTCTGCTGCTGGGCAAAATTCTCTGTAAGGCTGGATCTCAGATGGCCCAGTCTGATTACTACCGGGTGCTGATCATCCTCAGGAAGTTCTACTCACCCCGTTCCCTCTCCTCACTGCCTATCAGCTCCTAATACAAAACAGCCAAAGCCTTCCAGATTCCTCGTTACCCACTTGCTTATCTCCACTTTCCCCAAGCTGTTCTCTGACTCTTGCCTTTCTGTCCGTGCTACTGGATGCCAGAAAGGGTTGGTTATTGAGACAGCAGAACAAAGAACTGCTCTGTTTTCAGACCTGATACCAGTAACTGTGCTGGCTCATGCTGTTACAGAGGCTGAGGGGATTATCCCTTGGAGGACAAGAAAAATAGGTTTAAAGATGAACTCCAGTTTTATAGATCTGAAGCTGTAACAAGCCTATGCTAAACAATATTAGCTGCAAATCCTATCCTCTCTGCCAAATGTAAGATACTTCCTCCAAGGCACAGATATACTAGCATTCCTAGAAGAAATACCAAGATCTAAATAAAAGGTGAAAACCAAATTTTTCTTTAACCTTACTGATATAATTCCCTTCATTTCAGATTTGCAAAACAATCAGAAAATTTTTACTTTTTTTTTTTTTTTACATATGAGAAAGTTGTATCAAGTGAAAGTAAGGCATTATAGTGTGAAGCACTATATAGCCTCAACAGACAGTGTGCCAAAACTGGACATACAGGGCCTTATTCTTCCATCACGGCAGTTTTATTTAGGGAAGAGGATGTTTGACTGCTTTCTTGTATTTGGGTTGGTTGGGGTTTTTTTGTTTTGCTGTGTAAGGCTCAACAGATTCTTAACAATGGCTACATTTTCTAGCCTTTATATAAAAATAACTTATCACTAATGTTTGCCAAGTTGTGTTAACTCGTATTATGTATGGAAAACACTGAACTAAATTATATGCTCAGATTTCAAGACAACAGAATTCTATTGAATTATATTAAATAAAAATACTGATTATTGGAAAAAAGCATTCCCTATACTTGGAAGCAACTAAGTTATGTTGTAAAAACACAGCAAGGTAAAACATGGCTAATTTAACTTGCCTAAGCACATTAATACTTAAATAAAATAAGTAAAAAAATTTTCTTGGTTTTATCCCTATATTCTGCCATTAAAATGTCACCAGCTATTTGTGTCCTATTCAGTTTAGTCATTCTCTCCAAAACATACTTTTTTTTTTAACAGCTAATATTTCAGTGCAAATGGTAACAAGTATGTAATTCAGAGGATTTTAACCTTATCCCTGAGGCTGGGGTCATTGAACCACTCCAACAACTTCTTGCCCACTTCCATTGGGCTGGAAAGAAAGGTCCGATACGTCAACAGGAAGTCTTCTATAAAAGTTGGGTCTACCACAGAGTGCTCTTCCACCAAATGCATTGTTAACCTTTCAGCTGTTCCCTATTAAGAAAAAAAAAAAAAAAATCTTAGTTATTAAACCAGATTCTCAATAAATACAAATTCCTTTTCTTGTGACATACTGAAGATGCATTACACTAGAAACAATACTGGCGTCTATTGAATGATGAGCAAAGCAAACATAACAGCTTAACCATTCTGATAAGAAATGTAAAAAATTTATGTAATTAATTTCTATAGAAATCCCCCAGTTATCAATGTGCATAATTATAAAAAGAGAAACTAGAAATATTAACTATTTTCAAATATATATTTTTATAATATATATTTCTCAAGTAATCCTGGACCTAGCCTGCAAAGTTAAAAAGTTTATAAAACACAGACTTTTGCAAGACACTCCCTCTTTTGCTTTTACCTTGATGACAATGTGACCTTTCCTTGTTCCAGTGCGATCAAGCTCCCTGTGCTCCTTCACCATCACAATCTCCCCTTCCTCTTCTACCTTCTGCATGTTCTTTTCCACTTGATTGAGGATGCGGCAATAATCTTGCTGGGCTATACAAACAAACTGGAAAGAATCACCACGCACCAGTATTAAAATGTAAAATCTTCAGAAAAGCATTTAGACTTAAGATGCAAGGACTCTATTGGCAGAAACGATAAAGTAATTTCTCAACCTGCAGTGAGCCAAATTTGTCCTTCCAGCAGTTCAGCTGTAGTAAGCAAATGAATACACAAGGACAGTACTTCCACTACAATCTTGCAGTTAGAGGAGACCAAGATTCAGCAGAGCAAAATGATTTAGCGTTATCAGCCATTTTTGTTAGCTGCTTTGACCTCCCCTCTGCTGGAGATGAAGCTCGGTATCCTAGCCAATATTTTTCCTCCCATGCAAGATTTTGTGTGGTATGTAGAAGGGTTAAGAGACTGAAGGGAAAACCTAGCTTTTGGGGTTTGTGCCTACTGCTACTGTAAATAATTTTCATTTTTCATAGCTATTATTAATAAAGTCAATCATTAAGAAAACTAACTTTTATTCAGTTACATGAGTGCAGGCACAGAAACAAATTACTTCTGGATTAAAGCATACAGCAGGAAAAAAATATTTTCTATAATTATCTGCTCAGCCAAGAACGTAAGTGCAAGAATAAATACCTGAATAATATTCCTAGCACATACACTATGCAAATATAATGAAAGACCACCCACTACAACTTAGGGAAAAAATAAGACAGTATGCACTATGAATTGTCTTCTGTAACTTGTTAAAAGTTTTGTATCTTTGGCTCTTTTTTTCGGGCGAATAGTCAAGATTAAACTGTCATCTTCTATGAACTTGGGTATTTAACTGAAAGGAAATGACAGTGTTTCTTCTGATTGAAAAGTTGATAAATGATCACATATGTACTTAGGACAAAGGCATGAGATTCACCGAGATAGTATTTTCTCCTGCACTCTTCGTAATTCATTTAACGTACCTGTCTATTTCCAGCAGCTAGTAGTAGCTGAAACAGACCTCCCACAGTCTGGATTTGTTGCAAAACATTAGCCTAACAAGATACCATTTATGCACTTTTTGGAAGTTAGATGGGAGAACTAAACCAGGTGACTACATTAACACACATTTACACCTATTTCAAATGGCATCTACTGGAAGCTAATTAGCCATCAGGACCAAACAAAATGCTTAATTCACCCAGGGTTTGGCTATTATCTTCTCAATGGGAATACGCAAATAGCAACCACATATCCAGATCAGGCTACAAGAAACATTCCTTAAATCTCACTTTTTGTGTTAGAGCAAACATCAAGGCATTTTCCTTGAAAAGCCAGATTGGCTGAAACTAGATTTTTCTAGACAGAGAGCTTGTATTACTTTAAGAATTAGTAGCTGAGTTGAGTAAAGAAAAATGGCTATTGCCTGTAGAAGAGCCTGCAATGGCTAATGGACCGTGAGAACCTAAGGGAAAGTTTGAAGCAATGCATGTATGCAACACATCGCTGGACCTCAACTTCTGGAGACGGCACGTAGACAAACCTCTTAATCTAAAGTGATGAAGAGAATTCAATTTCCCAGACTGTGGGTATGCAGGAGCCACATTTCCCAACTATTGTACAGTGTTACACACTGGAGATTTTACATATTTTCAGTTTAAAATAAAACTGTATCTGGCTATTGAGTTGCATCGTGCCTATATGTACGTGATTTTGCGGTGTATTACAGTCTGACACACTACCTGGCAGTCATCCACTTTGGTTCTCATCACTCCTTTCATATATTCCTTTTCCATGGTAGGGGAAACACCAAAACTGTTCCCCATGCAGAGTATCTCTGTTCTTCCATCAGGGTACGTCACCTCCACAGAGCCGTTCAAAATGACTGACCAGGAATCCAGCTACAAATCAAATGTTGCAGGATACATGAAGACTGAATCACTTAACAATGTACTATCATTACCATTTTTCCAAAGGAGCCTATTAAAGCACCTATTAAAAACATCTATAAGCTAATTGACCTTAAATATGCAGCTATTTCCAGCTCAGGAAAACTGGAATCCTGTGTTTAACTATGTTAAGAGTTTAGGTAAGACTGTAAGTTTGGTTTTGGGGTTTTTTTTTTGTTTGTTTTGTCTTTTTTTAAAAAGGAAAAAAGAAAAATAAGGTGGGTTGAAAACACCACTTAAACACTGAAACTCCCCGAATAAGCTCCAATAGGCAGGAAGCATTTTGTACAGTATGCAGAGTATTTTCTTACGCTTTTATTGCGTAAGAAATGTTGTGCGAGTGCTAGCAAAAGCTTTCAAACAAATGCAGATCTGAGAGAGGCATAATTTACCTGATCAATGTTACTTTTTCTTTATTAATTATAAGGCAACAAAAGAGGACCTTAACCTTGTGCAATCTGGGATGTCTGGTATAATAGGAGAGCCCAAAGTAACTTCTACTGACCTCTTCCCCATCGTTTAGTACAATGGTTCCTGCTCTCTCCACAACTGCGAACACCATCACAGCACAGAGCTCTCTCCTCACTGACATTGTCATGTTGGCAAAAGCAGGCAATTGATGCATGAATTCCAGCAGTTGTTCTGAAGGAGAAAAAGCCCACTGAGTCGTGGATGTCAAAACAACAGAGCACAGCAAAGGCAGTTCTTCAGCAAGATGCCCGAGGCTACTTAAGCTAAAATGCTGCACAATCGTTTCTGTATACTAATAAATCATGTACAGTGGCCTGTTGTAATTACTGGGTATTTTGTAGACACAGACTGGCTGGTCACATCATCAATAGAAGCCCTGCAAAGTAAAATTCAGTATAATGGAAGACTTGTAATGTAACCAAGAGCTCTGAATACAACCAATGAAACTATAATACTCCAGCCAGCCAGGGCAGTAAGTTGATAAAGACTACGCTAGGCCTATATAAAACACAGCAAGACATTAAGAAGGGAAATACCACAAAACTGAGCAAGTTCATTGGTAAAGCCATCCCCTCGTAGGCTAGACCTAACAGTAAATTGTACACGGTCGTCATCTGGTGTGTTTACCAAGTTCCAGATAGAACAGGATTACTGTCTTAAAGGTGACTACTGCTGCTTTGTCTTCTGCATGCACGAGGGTTGCACTTGTACTCAGCTGTGAACTTTGCCCATATGAACAACTGAAAAGTGAAAATAACTACAGAGCTCTTTTTTTTTTTTTTATAGTCCTGCTGCGGGATTATATGCCCTAAATGCTAGACATTTTTACATTCAGATTGATCTAAAAAAACTACTGAAAGTAGTCAATAGGACCCCATCTTTTTCCTAAATTTTTATTCACTCAGAATTCACTGAATGGTTGAGGTTAGAACAGACCTCTGGAGGTCATCTGGTCAAACCCTCCTGCTCAAGCAGGGCCACCTACAGCCAATTGCCCAGGGCCGTGTCCAGATGGCTTCTGAATACCTCCAAGGAGGGAGGCCTCTCTACCACCTCCCTGCGCAAACTGTGCAGTTCTCTGTCACCCTCATACTTAAAAAAAAAAAAAGTTTTTCCTGGTCATCAGGTGGAGCCTTCTGTGTTTCAGTTTGCACCCATTGTCTCTGGCCCTGCCACTGGGCACCACTAATAGCCTGACTCTGTCTTCTTTACACCCTCGCTCCAGGTATTTGTATGCATTGATGAGATCCCCCCAAGCCTTCTCTTCTCCAGGCTGAACGGTCTCGCTTCTCTTATACCTTCCTCGTCTAAGAGATGCTTCAGTCCCTTAATCATCTGATAATCAACCTTAATCATCATTTAGTCATGCTTTGACAAAAGAAAAAAAAAATTAAAACTCAGCCATCTGTGAAACAGATTAGATTAGAAATTGTAAGAATTTGAATTCTAGTTCTGCTTTGCTTTCATTTATTAGCTTGTATGTCAACTTAGCAAATTAATTTGATTAGATGCACATTTACGTAGAGCTCTTAACAGCTCCAATGTTTAACACAAATGTGTATCTGTGGTTAAAAGCAGACAGAACATCACAACTTTTTAATTAAAAAATTTAGCGTGATAAGCATCCAGTGTTGACGTTAATGATGACTTTGCCAAGGTTCTGTTTTCCAGGACACAATGATGTTTATGATGTTTACTTCATAAACCAGTTCCGATATCAATTAGAAGCTGAAGCTTGGGATCCAAAGGGCCAGCAACTAAGTTTTCACCCATATCATGTGCATTTTCCTCCTTTTCTTTGGTTGTACTCATTCACTGGATGAATTTACGGCATTTATTAATCACCTTACAGAATAAACACTAAACTTACCACCTACAAAAGCCTTTAAACTATTAAAATAAAACCTCGAGCTCAAAAAGTAATTTTTTTTCGGTGAAGGAAAACAAGTTCGACAGTATTTCACTACATTGCAATACTTACCAATGTCATCATCTGTCCTGTCTATTGGGTCTTTCTCCAAGCAGTCTCTAACAATATCCCTACTCATCAAAGGATCCGATGCCCTTTCAATGTCTTCTTCATCATCATCATCCTCAGAATCCACTGCTGTCTCTGGCAACCCACTGAGATCCATATCACCAGCCTCACTTTCTGTAGCCTAGATTCATGTATAAACAATTTTTAAAAAAAAGAAAAAAAAAAAAGAAAATGTTCAAATGTGTTCTTCACTGCTAGTTTTCTAGTTAAATATACAGAAGTTAATTCTATCAGCTATCACTGATAGATTCTATCACTCAAATTCACTCAATTTTTTTATATTGCTCTTTTCCTTACATATCTTTTTAAAACAACTAGCCATTAATCAACCCAAACCCATTGTTTAAACAGGGCTTTTAACACTTGTTTCAATCAGCATGCATAAACAGCATTCAACATACATTATTTAATCAGTAGGTCTTGGAGGGAATTGAAGACAGTTATATTTCAAGGAACAATTTCTTTACATTTTCAGGCACTTAGGAATGCAATGTAATTTTAAGTATACATTTTGGGGAAATAAGTACAGCTTCAAAAGGCTACAGGAATTTTCCTATCTCCCAGTAACCTAGGACTGGTTTGATTTTTTTGTTTGGTTGGTTTTTTTGGTTGTTTGTTGGGTTTTTTTACATTTCCAGTCGAACATAATTAAATACAGCTTTCATTTGCTGATAAACAGTATAAGAATTTACAGATGCAGAAAAAATAGTCAAGTCACTGTTTAAACACCACAGATGGACTACACAGATTATCTGCCAGACTTAACCTCTGTTAAATTTTATTAAAATGAAGGAAAACATAGTCCATAAGCACAGCCTGAGGTCATTAGCATAGCACCTAAAGGTAAATACACTTTAATGATTCAGTTTTAAGACCAAACACTTAATAATTCCCACAATCATTTCTCTGTCACAGCTGATAAAGCTGCTTTTTCTCAAAACCTGATTTAATACCATGGCAGCTGCCAAGCCTCAGCTATGACAATTTTTAAGGAAATGCAAGCTTCTAATGAGCAAGTTTTAAGCCATGGCTTGAGAAATCAGGTTTCACGTGCCTTACAGGGATGGTTTGCTTCTGAGACTCTGGAAGCACACAATGCATTCATGTCTACTTTAAAAATACTACTAAAGCCTGCTTTATCGATCTGTCTCTCATACTGGTAAAAAAACCCACCAAAACCCAACCAAGCAACCAAACAACACACCCAAAACTAGGTCACCCTCCAAACACAGAGAAGGTATGACAAATTACGGTGGTATTTCTGTGGAATCATCTTCCCTGCTCCTGCCTCACTAGTTGCGGCTGACATCTGTTACTTTAATGCCATTATACCCAGCCACCTCATGAATGGTAGCATATGGCTTGAGACAGATCAGGGCAGCTCGTGTCATTCTCAGATGCTTCTGTCCTACAGCACAACACAAGCTTTGTAACAGGCCCTTGGTAATATAAAAAGCACGATAACAGCACGTACACAATATTCAAATTATTCTCACTTTGTGTTTTGGGGTTTTCTTTAAAGAAAAAAAAGTGCCGAGTGTTTCTGAAGCAGGACAAAGAAGGTTGTTACACTGACATGCAAAAAAATAAATCACAAAAATGACAGCACTGATAGAAGTATTTTCATTAGCAGTCTTACTGTGCTTAACATGCATGTTCCCTGACACATTTGAAACAGTTGCTATAATTATTCTTACAAAATAGCCTTCATCAAAAGCGACTGGTGGAAAAATTAGTGACGATGAGTCAGTAGACACACAGCTTATGACACCGATCTGTCAGAATCTGAAGTCTCCAACAGTGACAACTCCGGTGACAGTGGGACTGACTAATTCACAGTCAATTTTGCAAACCTTCCCATTACTAACAAGCGCCCCTCCTACCTGCCCAAATTAAGCTCTCTCAAAAGCACATTAGTAAAATGAATGCAGAACTAAATTTAGTCACACAATGCTAACATACATGAGAAAATGCCACATATTGGTCAAAATCTGATTATTGAAAGACAAGTTACTTGACTGTCTTAAAACAATAAAACAAAACTGGACAGAAGTTGAAGCTCTGTTATCACAAAAAGTTGATGCTATTAAGAAAAAAATCTCACGCTGAAATTAAATGCACCTTTGTATTCAGAAAATACTTTAAAAATACTGCTAAAAGCTACAAACATTTCCCAAAGATGGTAACTTTTTACAGAGATACTTAAATCTTTCTGACAACTGAAGTTATTGGTAGAAACCTGAATGATAAAGCAACTATATCTAACCTTCTAGTTATCAAAAAATACAAACCACTGCAACAAAGAAGCTCAGAATTGAATGCAACAAGCCACAGAGTAGTAAAAAAAATTTATTCATTTGACTTAGGACACCTTTAAAAATAAACCTTACCTTTTGAGGAAAAAAAAATACATTTTTTCAAGTGACATTCTGAAAACGTTACAATTAAGCAAAAGTTAGCAAAGGAACACAACGTAGCCTTTCCGCATAGGCAATATGCATTCATAGTAGTAAAGAATCAAGCAACTCTTCCCACAAGGACTCCTTGTGTTTATACACGCAAAAAGTTTTGCATGAGGTTTTTTTACATTATAAAGAACAACTGGATCTGTCTTCATGTTAAAAGCATGTACCAATGTATCTAAAAAAACATTATAAATAGCTTCTTTAGTAGCATCAAGTGTGATGTTAAAGATTCAAGGTCCTCTTGCTGACACATTAAACTTCCTAACCCACCTAGTTTGAGTACTTTTTGTGTAAGACTAAAGGGAAAACCTCAGTTAACATCTCTGAGGACAGAGGCTTCCTTATAAACCCCAGCAGCAGAAAATCCAGAACACAAGATGAATACCCTACAGAATTTGTACTACAGTGAATCACGAGGCTTAGAGCTTCCCAGGGCATTTAATCAGGGATGAAACACACCTCAGAAATCAGTGCTTTCATAGGTGCATGTTGTCCTTTGTTTCTTGGGTAGTAAGAGAAATTAGCTTCACTGAAATCTAAAGAGATTGAATGTAAGAAAAATGCTAGTTGCATCTTAGAAGTACAAAACAATGTCTCTCTGAAGTCTGAACACCAGTTGCAATGAAAATTTTCTTCATAGTGGGAAAGATGGCATGAAAAATTTGCTGAAGCTTCAAAGGAATCACATAATGACAGCCTAGTATTTTATTTGTCACATCACCAACAAATAAGTCAGGAGGTTTAAGGTAGACATTTTCAAGCCTGAGGTGAAGACTTACTTCACATTTGGTACCTAAGGAGACCTGCCCAATTTTAAGCAGTGTCTGTAAAGGCTCATACTGTAGTAATACAAAAATGGTTGTTCCAACTGCTAAGGATCTCCAAGACCAAAGTCACTTCTGTATCTGAGTAGTAACAGCTAATTAAACAAATACCATGAAATGACTAGTGAAAGATGGAAAGTAAAGGAGCCTTATGTAAATTTTGCCAGTTAGTCTTTGGGTTGCTGACTGACTCTAGAAGAAAAAAAAAATTAAAAAAAAGAATTATAATTCATTCCCCTTAGATCAAACTGGGCACACTGGGGAATTGGAAGATCCTGCAGTCCCTTTAGACTCGTATGAGAGGAAACTGATTAAGCCCAACTCTAATAGTCTTTCATTTTTTGGAGATTATCATGAACACGGACATAATGAGAGAGGTGATGGACTACATGAACAGCTAAAGATGACCTCCTTTACTGCCTCATTTCCTTCTCCAATCAATTTTTGGGTATCTGTTGAGAAAAAGGTCAGAAGAGGCCAAGGGGGATGTTGGCTGATCCAACTGATGTATACCTTTTCAAGCAAGTAACTCTCCCTCCTGTATTATAAGTCCTTCATCACACGCCTACACGCACATATCAGCTTTACTATGGGAAAGGAAGTGGGAAGACTTGGAGAACTGCTTATAAGATGACTGGCTCTGTTTTAGGTGGCCTTCACATTTTTCTTTTCTACACTGGTTTGGGGAAAAAGCTTCAGCTGATCTTAACCATATAAAGAGAAAAAACTAGAAAACCCTTAAAATTAACCACATTAAGTACTGATTTCTTAGTATTTGAAACAGAATATTTTAGCCTAGGCTTTATTTTTTTTTTATTTTAATCACTTGCTTTAGGAAACATTAAGAAAAAATGCATCACTTCGAATAATAAATCCCCTTTGTGACTAATGTCACCACCTAAATTGACAATGCAAAATCTCCAAACATGCAAGAGAAAAATACTGGAGAAAACAAAAAAAAAACCTAGAAAGCATAGAAGACACTTGTTGTATAAACCAGAAATATGTTCATTGCCTGCTGCAGTCCTTCAAGTCCATGAAGCTAACAAAGAAAGCAGCGAAGTGAAGCTCAACCTCCCCCCTCCCCTCCATTTTTCAGTCATTTGTAGTTTAAGGGCTAAAAAATAAACTAAAAAATGAAATTAAGAAAGTTTATTAGTGAAAAAATTCAATTTTTACTTCATAATTTATAAGCTGAAACTGATACAAAACACCAAGACCACCGGCACTACAGCTCTCATGAAATCACTTGCGAAAGTCCCATTAGCTTGAAAGATTGCCTTCTGTCATTATATAGGCACACTGGGTCCAGCTTTTCCACAAAGAGAATACATGGCTGGGGTCTTGTTTTACATTAGGTTTCAACTCACTAGGCAAAAGTTTACAATATAAATAAATTGCTATGAAATTCAATCCATGTAGTTATAATACGTATTTGTTTGTTAAAGAATCATCATATCTATCTCAATTATACCTATTACATGCACACAAATCATACATAAATCCCCGCGTAGTAAACTGATTTTTTTCATACTCCGCTAACTTGAGTGCAAATGGCCATGAAATACCTCAAAACTCCTTCAGTCTAAGATTTTTACTGCTCTCTCGTCATATTTATTCTTTCATTATCTACTCTAAAATTTACAGCACAGCAGCCCACATCTGTCACAGGAGTCAGCCGGAGCACTATTCCTCCCTAGAGATGGAAAAATGTAATAACCCAGACAACGCATGCCAGGAACAGCGGCCTCCCCTCTCGCCAACTAATTGCCTGGGTTTTTTTGTTGTGTTTTTTTTTTCTTCTCAAAACGGAACAACGCTTGCTGAAACCACAGCCACACAGAGCAAGGACTCTGAAAGTTATTCCTAGGCTCCTAACTGCAGAATAGATTAGCGGACCCAAACTCACCAAGAGTGATAAGGTAGCACAGAGGACTTGGCCGAAACCGTGGGGCGGGAGCGCGGGAGTTCAGTAGGTCCTAGTTTACCTCAGCCATTTCAGACTTCCTTGCATTACCCAGAGCCCTGCACTGCAGAGGCCGAGACAATCAGAAACGCTGACAATCTTAAGGTAAAACCTCTTTATTTTGTGTACAGTGACTTAGGGGCTTTGCTGCACAGGCTCTCTGGCTTGCCAGATAAAGGTTTGGGCTCGCTTGGGAAGGCTTTCTGGAAGGTGGGCCTTTCTTCTAAGAGTTACCGTATCAGACTCATGAGAAAACAAAGTTGAGATCTTAAAAATTTCCAAGCCATACACACATCCTGGGAGGGTCTCGGAAAGGATGTTCCCGGTTTCCTGTACGGGCGGGAGCATGCGGGCGGGCACCAGAGGGCACGCAGGGCCGGCGGGAAGCCAGCGGGCTGAGCACAGGATAAGGCAAAGAAAGGCTGGCAAAGGAAAGAGCTGAGCCCACACAACAACGCCTTCCCAAAACAGGGAGGGGGAGTAACACGCCTTCACGGGCTTAAATCTCCTCCTGCTCAAAGTGGGATCATCACCTGGTAATATCCGTGACAGGTACAGGAAGCATTTAGGAGCATATAGGAACAGGTATATGCTTCCATACAGGAAGCATTAAGTAAGCACGAGAAATGGGAGCGAGCAGCCACACATGAGAAGCAGCAGAAAACAATTTGCTTTGCCAAACCAACACAAGCATTGTTCCTGGCAAATACAAGCTCGCACACAATCTATTACCATTCAGCATCCCCTTCCTCTCCAGTCACATTACAGAGTTAAGTCACTTTATGAACTCATTTCCTAAAATGTTGTTAGTCTTATTTAAGGACCTTACCGATTGGCACCTGAAATATTTTTGAGACTTGGGTGGGGTGAAGACAAAGGATTTTTAATTTTATTTCAGTAAGTACTTCTTACCCTAAAAGAAATTCTTTCATGTGCAACGTTTGACAAACAAATTTAGTTACAACATTAATATTTCAAAGTAAATATTCTCAGCTCGATGCTGAAAGCATCTGAAGATTCAGCCTCATGATTTATTCAAAAAAAAAAAAATCTTAAAAGGCCATGGACATATTTTCACTGCAAACAGCTGCTCTTAAGGCTACAGAACTAAAACTTACTAGGATGCAAAACTTGACATATTATTAACTCAGATTTTAACAGTAAAGATCTAATTAAGAGAATAAGTGAAAAAAACCCCCACATTTATATATCAATTGAAAGGTAAGATGGCAATCTTTCTAAATCATTCCTTTCTACTTAGGCATAATGAACAGAAGTCCATTTTACTGAACAGAAAAATGACATGTACAGAATATAAGAATCAGAGGAACAACAATACTGAGCTTTGCCTAAGACCTATTAAAACTGAAGTGAAAAAAATAGCATGTAGATGATTTGGTTATGGTTTACTGTTTTTGAATAAATGCTTGGGAAAGAACTAAAGGGCAAATAATTGATAGAGAATGACTGATCCAGTCTCCGTTTCAAAAAGTATTTCGGTTTATTTAATCCTTGACCCTAGAGAACTGAAGTTACAACCATTTTATTTTGTTGTGGCTTTTTTTTGGCAGTACTTCAACCTAATTTAACATTGCTACATTAGACTCCTTTACAACTGAAACTGAGGTGAGAAATTAATGATTTACCACAATATAAAAAAAAAAATCACTAAATCAAACAATATTTGGTACCATAAAGTTAAATTCAATAATTTAAGAACCTTAAGTTTATCGGCTTCCACACCTAAACTTATCATTTTTTTAAGAAATGTTTCTTCGAGTAGGTCTATTAACACAAAAACATGGGGCTACATTCCACAATACATGCTCATATTTCTCAGTGTTAATAAAGACATAGGGCATTTTAATAACTACTGTGACATTGTACAATTACACAGTTCTCAATACATCTGTGCCAAGACATCTTTAAATGAGCTATTAACTGTGGATTTATTTAAGAAACCAGGTATTTTTTAAGATCACCAAGAATGACAAGGTATCCTCAATTATTTTTTTAAATTAAATTGAAAAAAATGTGCGCCATGTAAATACTTGACAAAACCATTAACTCTCTTCAAACACCAACCATCCTGTTGATTCCATTATTGCATACAAAACTTATTACGGGGTTGGTGAAGGCAGAATGATGTGTTTCTCTGAAGCTTCTATACAGTATTTTTTTTTTTTAGTTACCCAGAAATTCAGTGACCTTTTCACAGTTGCAAAAGTTTGCTGAAACTCTGCAAAAATTTACTTCCAACTTATCTAGGGGGCAAGTAACTGTATGACTATAACTAAATGCCACCTACAACTATGTCTCTAGAGGTACTTGATGTTTTTATGTTAAAATGTAAAATCGTTGGAATGAAAAGTATGAAAGTCTACAGAAGACTCGAAGAACAAAGCTGATTTTACATCTTCTTCACCCTCACAGTATAAACCTAAATCCTGCCTCAAAGTAATCCTCCCTCAGAAGAAATTCTGACAAACATACTTGACTGGCATGTGCTATGCCTAAAGTGTTCAGTTACTTGGAAATTCTTCACAAAAATAAACCTTTGCATTATTGCAATTACTATCTAAATTGAACTGGGACCTTTTTATAGCCTAGCTTCTCCCACAGAAAAGCTTATTCACCTGAAGCAGACTGCATGCTACATCTATGCTCGCAACTGAACTTGTATGTTTTTGTATAGATGATGCTTTTCCCATTGTTTAAATGGCTACATTTATATTTTTAAAAGCATCCCAAACAAACTAGTAAACAGTACTTCACATAGAACTGGTCTTGTTAAATTTTTTGCTATTGTTTTGATAGAACAAAGTTTTAATTAGATTTGACTCTTTTTTTTCCAGAATAACAGATTGCTATATTTTGTCCGAAGGACAAATTCCCCTCTGAGACTGCAAGAACTGTAAACATCAAATGAAGGATCCAGACCTTTTATTTTGGAATTTTTTTTTAATTTCTATTTAGAAGAGGCACGCACCCACCAAAGTGTTCTAGGGACCCTCTGGATCAGTTTCACCATAAATCTCTCCAAACTCAAGCTGCTCCAAATGAAAAGCACAGATCTTTATGACAAGAACCGCCCCCAGAAGTACAACACTTTACAAAGTCTCACCAGTTCAACCTCTCCATCTTTCCCAGGACAGCCAGAAGAGAAAGCACGACTGAGATGCTGGCACCAGGTCTCTACAGGGTGGGGAAACTGGAACATGCCCCTCAAGCCAGGCCAGTACAGGCTGCTTGCTGCATATTTCTTTCTCCCTACCACTGAATATGTTCTGGAGTTTGAAGCCAATAACCTTGAAGAATTGTGAAATACAGCATGAAGAAGAAAAATCCCTCACATTACAAGGTCCTAAATCTACAGTTTTGAAATTATGATCCAGCTTTTGATCATACCACCCAGCTCACGGGCACTTCTTGTCAGCAGATCTCAGAGTCAAGTCTTCTAGTGCTAAACATCACAGCTGTTGTTTTACACATGGCAAATTGGACAGACAGAAAGACAAGGTGAAGTGCTGGGGTCAGGAACAAAATCCTTTTACCTCCCGGGTCCCATCAGGGACCTCTGCTGGAGGGGCCACACTGGCTCTCCACACTGCAGTTCAGGACCACTCCCTCCCCCAAAATCACAAATTACAAGCAAAATTAACGAAGCACAATCCTGAAATGTTGCCAAACACTATGCCTCTACATTGCTGACTCGGATCCTGACAAACTAAGGCAACACACCTCACGTCACTGTGCTGCAGATGACTTGCTGAGCTTTCACAAACCTCAGATGTAATATGTGGCGGATAACCCCCTGAAATTACTGCAATTCAAAGAAAAATTAGCGTTTTGAAATCTATCAAGTGCTGCTTCAGACAAAACCAGACAATCCGCAATAGCACAGGCGTTCTGCTATTAACGTCAAAACTGTTGGCACTTGCACCTCCTCCCATCAGCATCCATTCCAGTCTTACCTGGTAGATATCAGAAAGGCTGCTGCTTCCTGAATCACTAGTGATGCTACATCCTGAGTGACTAGATGAAACGTGGGTCACCTGTGGGTGGAGACTGTCAGTAAGGTGCAGCTTTGTGAAATCTGCAGGAAGCTATAGGTGGAGCAGAAAAAGCATCATTACAATTTGAGGTAGATACACAGCAAAATGAATTCAAATCACTTATGTCACACTTTACTCTCTGCCAGTACCAAGCGTATTGAGAAAACCATTGGGGCTTGAGAATGCAGCACAAAAGTTTGAGTTTGGCAGGTTTTTTAATTCATGCAGAGGTCGGCAAAACACCACCAAACCGCTGCAAATATAAGAGATTTTTAAAAAGCACATCTGAGGACAAACACCAGTGAAGTGATAAACCTTATGCCAAAACTCTTCTTTATCTTGCTATGGGGTTTGGCTAGAATTAAAGCGCATATGAATATTGTGCTAGCTTCAATAGCAATGATTTCCTGTAGAATGGGGCTTAACAGCGAGTAAAGTCACATATTAAAAAAAAAAAACAAAAAAAAAACAAAAAAAAACCCCCAAAAACCCAAATAAACCAAAAAACAAGCACTGCTCTGGATTTGGCTAACTTTTGCTTCTGAAGCTGACAAAGTACAGTAGAGACAAATAAAATCCAAATGACTGAGCTATCTGTTATACTTTGACTCAAATAATATGAAGGCATATAGGAAATGCAGGAAGACTGACACAACTGCAAAGAGCTACAATCCTGAAATGAGTTTGCTTGCACACAGTGCTGAAGAATGAATCAAGACAGTATATTTGATCATTTAACAATCATCCACCAAGATTTGTGATGTGTATCGTTACTATTGCTTTATGCACACAGCTCCCATGAAAATCTTGCCAGGCTGCCTTTGATAAAGGAAAATATTTGCGGTCTGAAGAAATATTTAAATGCTATTTCAGGGGCAAATTACTCCTCTCCCCAAGAAGCTTGCATCTCACCGCTAGTTAATAAGAGTATGTTAATGTATCAATTTTGGTATGCAACATGTGCTTCAATACTTTAAAAAAAAAACCTTTGCTCATCAATTTTTCTTGTTTGTTTGTTGGTTTCAACTCTGACAAGGCAGATACTCTCTGTGGAAGTGTGTGTGTACCAAGAATGTCATACAGAGTGTGTCCATCCATGTCAGTTATGAATGCTACCGTGGCGCTATTACCGTGCTCCCTGGATGGGAATGAAAATAAGAGCTCTCTCAGCATTAAGATATAATAGGTTGATCAGTATAAACGGTTATGAAGAGTCATCTGCAAGTCACAGAAGCGTGACTGAGAAAATTATTAGCTCTACATGGTTAAAGGTACTGCTGCTTGCTGCTTTAAGTCTGTTTACGGACCATGCCCTGAAAGAACTTTGGCTTTAGGATTTGTGGTGAAAGCACAGACAACTGGAAACCTCAGTCTTATGTAGACTGACTGGCATTTCTTATTCTAATACACCTGAAAGGGATTTCTTCCTTATCACAGCATGACTGCATCAGTGATAGCAAAAATGGCTGCATTTTAAACAATTCTTTCTTAATTTTTTACCTGAAAGAGGGGCTATAAACAGGAACCAGACATTAATAATCCTAAAAAGCTTCAGTAAGCCCAGAGCTAGAGTTGATCTTCATATACCAATCAACAAGGAAAGGGCAATTAACAAAAGCAATACTCTAATACATACAGCCCTGGACGCTGCCTGCAGAAAAATCTAATTATGCTCACCACTGTTGATGATATACCAGAAGGAGAAAATACAGTATGAAGGAGTGCATTACTTATAGTATCTGCTATTTCTGCTACGTCCCTTTTCAATTTGTAAGTTTGAATTAGCACAAAACTGAGCAGTATTCACTGATATTCAGGCCATTATATTCATGTTTTACCATGATTTGAGCCATTCTACAAACGAGTATACATTCCATATGTAGAATGTATAGTAACTGAATCACCACAGCTTTTGCAATGTGTTGATACGTACTCCTAAAAGTACAATCTCTCAGAACTGAAGTAGTCCAGGTTTATTTCCAAGTAGAAACTTTACATATTATTTTGAGATACATGCATAAATCATCTGAGATTTCCACATTTAATAACTCAAAGATACAATATTTTGAGAGCTTTACATTTTATAAAGTAATAACCATTTCAATCACAAGTAAATATTAACTCCATAGGGAGGTGCATACCAACACAGTCTTGAGCACAGCCAAACATGTTCAATTTTTCATACTGCCCTTCAAATATCTCCATGTCATTAACAATTGCATTTATAAAAAATAAATGCAATAACAATTTGTAAGAACCATGCATCAAAGCAAATCCAGTTAGTATGTTAAAAAATGAAATCAAGCTATGTTTAATACAACGACTGCACTTAAGTCTTTTAAATGAACAGCAAGGATTTATGTTTTTTTACTACACATGCAATGGGAAGAGGCAGGAGATTCCACAATAACTGATGAAACACATGGCAAATAAAAGCAAGCCTTCTGAATTTTTTTGACTGTAGACAATCAGCTGAATGTTTGGTGATTACTGGTTTCAGAATAACTCCTCAAGTCAAAGCCGTGCTGCATCGGCTGGACCCGCCAAGTGGTGACAGCAGATCATCAGAAGCAGGCATTTTACTTAGGGCAACCTAACTAGTCACTTTGATCCTAATCAAGTCGGACTATTCACAAGCAGAAAGCACATGCTCACATCTTTGCAGAATACTACATCTCTGTGCTACATGCCCGAAAGCGGCATCCACTTCAACTGCCCTACCCCCAAATAGGAAGGTGAGAAGTTGTGCGAGGAGAAAAAAAAAAACCACCCCAAAAATTAAAATTAAATAAGCTGAAATATTTCAATTGTGAGCTCAATGAAAAGGGCATGCGAGAAATACATGCATTTCTATCTTAGTCACATACTGCTATTGAAAATATTTAGTGTACAGAGTTGTACATAATGGGGAAAAAAGTAAAGCACTGATGACAGAGAAAACCTGCGTGTGCTTAAGTCCTCTGTGTAGGAGGCTACACCTGTCACTCGTGGAGCACAATGTTTGGTAAACAGTTTTTGCTAAGCAGAACAAGAATAAAATGCAATGTTCAACAACCTCAGTAGTGCCAGCAACCAGCACAAAGCTGTCTCACCCACACCAGAGTATTTACGTTAATTTCTTACTTGCAGTGGAACATGATTAAAAAATAACATCATGAAACTGTGCTATTCTATCCAGTGACAAAATGGCTAGGAACATCAATCTCTGCTTTTGGGAAATGTATGACAATTAACTTCACTACAAGAGGTATATCTGCCGTGCTACTGAGCATCACTTCATTATGAAATTTTTAAGCACTCTGTGCTCGTATTCAGCTATCATTCCATTTAACAGTTTAGTACTGACTTTAGTATATAGTATCACAGTAAAAATAAAAAAAAAAGTTTTCTTGGAGTGTTTTAAAGCATGTGCAGGCTAGAGCTAGCACATGCTTTATCTTCCCAACCATGCAGCAATATGAGAAAGTCTAAGGACATACGCTTGGCCTCAGTAACATCACCCATCGCAGACTGAAGATGCCGCAAATGGCATCAGAACTGGAGACATTTTTATCTTGTTTTCCATTTTCATTACATGATGGCTAGTTTTAAGGAGTCATTCAAAGTAATAAGGATCAAAAGCAACTTGTACATTTTACTTAACAAGCACTTATTTTTCTGCAACAGCACTAAACTACAGCTTTGCTGAAGCCAGCAACTACAGTATCTCCTAACTTTATTACTGAACACTTGGAGTCAGAGCATCAGAAGGAACTAGAAGACAATGGCAGGGTAATTTAGAAAAATTAATGCATTATTTGTTTTTAAGTAAATATGGTTTTGAAATAACTTATATGTACACCTCACTGAATAATTAATAGTCATTAAAAGCATCAGATACTGTCCTGATAACCTCTTTTCAGGATAAACTTTGTAAGTAAGCAACATTAAGGCTGCATATGCATAGAAATAATGAAGTATAACGGGGGACAAGAACTTTTAATACAAAACATGAACCAATAAAGTAGTTCACACCAAAGCCCTAAACTTAATTTGACAGAGGGCACACCATTATTTTATAAATATACATGTAGCTCTTAATAAGTGAGCATGTGTGTGTACATACACACATTTAAGTAATTTACACCCATGTATAGAAACCAGAGGAAAAACAGCACATGGGGAAACGCCAAGCTTTTACTTCTTGAAAACCCTAAAACAAATGAAAACTTAAACAATTATGTGAAACTATCTTAAGGACAAAGAGGAATCTCCATTTTGAACTGTACAATACCTTAAAGCTTATCACATCTTCCTATCTTAAAAGCAGCATTTTATTACTTCCACCCTCAAAGTGAGTCACCGCGTTATGCATGCAAAGCTAACAATTACTTTGCTCTGTATATGTTCCTCCTATTTTAAGAACATCATGATTTTCTCCTACCCTACAGCGTGCCTTTCTGTAGAACAAAAGGCAAATTCTATTGCAACTTCTACTCAAGAAATGATTGGGCTCATCCTACTAATACAGTATTTTAAAAAAAGAATACATTTTTCAGAAACTGGAAGAGAAATTAAAGTCTTCAGATATAGCATAAAAAGGCATGAAAACAGCAAAACATGAGTGAAACGATAGCAAACCCTTTTCTTCATTTAAATAGTATTCCTGCGTGTTTTTGTTGAGTTTCCTTGGTTTGCTTTTTTTTTTATTTATTTTGGTTTTTTAAAAATACATTTGTATGTGAAAACAAGTATAAATGCAACAATGGGAAAGACAGCCACAAGAATGTAGTTTTAAAATGCAAGAGGAATTCTGGTTGTAGAGCTCCAATATACCACTCATTTTAGAGCAAACTTATCAGTAAACGTTTCATGCTTAGGCTGGTCAGCACTTTTTGCAAGATTTATAAAGCCTGCAAAGTGGCTGAAGTACATCTGCAGAAAGACGGAATTTAAGAGAGCAAAGGTGTAACAAATCTGTTACGCAATTCCCAACGAATGATACGGGTAATTAAGTGCCACTGAGACAGGCCAAGTACAGTCGACACAAGGCAACAGAAAATAATCACCTT